CACCCCCCCCCCCCCCCCGAAACGAAATCCTGGCTATGGGCCTGTCTGGGATTATATGCAATTGATATTTTCACATTTGGAATCACTTTGGACCATGATTTCTAGATTATGTGATTTTAATGTTTTTATTAATATGTTTTTAACTCCACGTTTTAATTGTCTAAATGTTGTTGCATTTTTATGATCTAATTGATAGTTATATGTTATGGTTGCTCTATGTTAGGCTTTATATGTATGTGAGGTATTAAATTTTTCCATAAATATGTTGGAAACTGCTTTGAGTCCCCTCCTGGGATGAGAAAAGCAATATACAAGTAAATAAATAAATAAATAAATAAATAAATGTGATGTTTCTCCTCTGCCATACAGTGCTATAATGACAAAACTGATTAAAGTATAGTTACAGTGTAAAAGGAGGGAAATTACCCCTAGTTGTGTAATTATCCTTCATTATTGGTGAAAGAAGTTAACAATGTGAGAGCGAGAATGGTTTAAGCATTGGATTACAATTCTTGAGACCAAAGTTTGATTCCCAATTCAACCATGATAACTCGAAGGCACACAATAGCAACATAGCTTGTAACCAATTACTTTTTGATATTTTGGTATTTTGATGGAAGATAAGCTACATAAGACAATTATTTCCATGCATTCTACTGAGATGTTTTATGATACTATATGCTTTTCATCCTCTTGGCTTTATTCCCAGCTGAATTGAATGCTTTTGACGATGTGTTCCTTAAGGAGTTCGAATGTCTCATATCATTATACCAGGTTACCCAATCAGACTCAGAATTTCTACAATCATAAATGTGAATATTTAGATATATTATTTGAATGTGGAATTATTTAGAATTTTAGAGAATGCCATTTGAAATATAAATGAAAAGAAGATGTTGTGTGTCTGTATGTTTGTGACTGTGCATTAAAATGCATACATATTTGCATCTTGGGTCCAGAGAAACAAAGTATAGTTTCCTAGCCAGTGTCCCAAGGGACAAGGAGGCAAAAAACAGCTTCCATTGGTCTTCACTCACATGTTGGCAGAGGAGAGCTGTTAACTCTTTAGACAAGTGGTTCTCAATCTGTGGGTCCCCAGATGTTTTGGCCTTCAACTCACAGAAATCCTAACAGCTGGCAAACTGGCTGAGATTTCTGGGAGTTGTATGTCAAAATACTTGGGAACCACGGTTTAAGAAGCACTGCTTTAGACTGAAACTACCAGAAGGCATCAAAGGTCATGCTATCCAGGAGATTATTAAAATGGTAATGTAAAATGGTAACCAGTATCTGTGGCAAAGGGGAAGAAAAAGGAATGTCCATATACAGTTGACCCTTGATATCTATGCAGTTTAGTTCCAGGACTCACCATGAATATCAAAACCTGAGATGTTCAAGTCTAATTATACATAGTATCATACTAAAATGGTATCCCTTAATCGGAATTAAATATATATGTATTCAAGCCAGGCCTGTAGCCAGGATTTTGTTTCGGGGGGGGGGGGGGGAGTTTGGTTCAGGGGGGGCTGAGTCTGAGTGAAAGAGGGTCTACCCTAGCAAACCTTTTGTATCGTTACCCCAATACCCCCATGCATATGGGATATATTGAGCATGGTGATCAGATCATGATATGAATAAATATAACAGTTTAAATAATGTACCAGTAAGGCCTTCTTGCGGACCACCATCAGAATTTGGGGGGGGGGCAAAGCCCCCCAAGCCCCCCCCCCTCCGGCTACATGCCTGATTCAAGCCATGGTCAATTGAATCCATGCATGCAGGATCCATGGATATGAAAGACCAAATTGTATCTTAGGCATAAAGGAAATCTGAATCTCTCAGGAATCTAGGGTTCTTTAATAAGGAATAACCTTATGGTCTGGGAACGTGAGAGAAAGTGACCATTGGGAGCTTGTGGTGTTGACCAGTAAATATCTAAGATGGCTCTAGAGATGGCAAGCAGCAGAGTTTTTGAAAACAACTCTGGGGAAGCCTTTTGTAGGAGAGTTTTCCTGCTCTTCATGCTCAAAGTTGGCAGAATATGTAATTCCTGTCTATTGGGGTTAATCTGGCTGCATGGTTATAGTGATGTGATTAAAGGCAAATGGGCACCCATAACACACAGCCTGCATGTAAAGAGGAACTGATATAGTAACCTATGTGATATAAAACAAAACATACAGCCCAAAAGATATGATTTGGTTTTGCTGACTCATGAGAATATCACTTCTTTTTAAAGATATGTGGCTATATTAAACAGGCCGATAAAAAACAATGTGAGGTTACATTTTGATTATACAAAATTTAAAAATCACATTGTAATGAGACACTGAAAAAGGTCTGATTTTCAGCATTTAAATATAAATGGACATCATTTCAAAAGGGACAGTGAAAACAATGTGTGCAAATCACATCATTAGCACTCAACTGGCATTAGTTTGTAAAAGAAACCTATCAAAACAAAGTCAAATGAATAGTTTTGTCAGTAAAACTGACTCCATTGTTCATACTGGAATGAACCAAGTATAGCCCTCTTGTTGTTTAATTGTAATTCTCTATGATGGCAACAGATTCTGGGACAATCTGACAATATCTGGAAGGCTCTAGTGTGTATCTTACTGCTATCTGTCTTACTGCTCGGAGTTTAAGATTGTTGGGGGAGGCCCTGCTCTCAGTCCTGCCTCCTTCGCAGGCACAATTGACAGGGACAAGAGACAGAGCCTTCTCATTGGTGGCTCTTTGGCTGTGGAATTCCTTCCCCAGGGATACAAGATCAGCCCCTTCCCTTCTGACCTTCCATAGGAGAGTGAAACCATGGTTCTGTGACCAAGCCTTTGGAGAACTTGTTCAATAGATAGATCTGGAATGATGTGCAATGACTATTGGAACGGCCTGGATTATGCTTGAGAATTACGCAATTAATTGTGAATATATTGTCATAAATGTTTTTAATTGTTTTAATGTATTTTATAATTCTACGTAAATGATTATTTTAATTGTACATTATTTTATGGCAATTTTGGAGGCCAGGATGTGTGATTTGAGATATGTGTAAGTGTATCTCTGAAAGGGAAGTGCCAAATGTGTAATATTCTTTGTTTAAATGGCTTCGGTTGTGAGATAAACATTCCTGTTTAAGTATTCAGCCTACAAACTTTATTTTCTAAAATGTCTACTGGGGGTAGAAGGGCATTTCCACCATATTTCTGGACACACTGGGCCAATGTCTCTTCTAAGTCATGCTTAAGGCCAGACCCCTAGAGTGTATTACATTAGCCTAATGGTGAAATTACCTGTGAATGACTATTTTGGCTAGGTTGTCTGTCTCTAGGAAAGGTTACATCTGATGTATCAGCTGGATCTGGTATAAATACTGTGAGCCACAGAATCCCTTTTGGTCCCCAGTGACAACAATGGGTCCAGGAGTCATCCAGCAATTCTGTGCTTTCATCTAGATTGCTAGGAGCCCCTGGTGACACAAAGGTTAAACCTTTGTGCCGGCAGAACTGCTGACTGAAAGGTCAGTAGTTCAAATCCGGGGAGCTGGGTGAACACCCGCCTGTCAGCTCCAGCTTTTCATGCAGGGACATGAGAGAAGCCTTCCACAGGATAGTAAAACATCCGGGCATCCCCTGGGCAATGTCCCTGCAGATGGCCAATTCTCTCACACCAGAAGCTACTTGCAGTTTCTCAAGTTGCTCCTGACATTAAAAAAAGCTAGACTGCTGCCAAATTTCAATTTTCTAACTAGTTCTAAAATAGCACAACCTGCGCCATTACTAAATATTATATTAAGTAATTGACCCAACTGAGGAAATCCTCTGAATACGTGAATGTTTACATCTATAAAGTTTTGCCTCCATGTGGTACTCTCACACATCTAGAAATGTACAAGTAGCTGTGTTAGAGATATATGCAAGAATCCATATGGCTGTCAAATCCATAGATGGAGAATCCATGAATACAGAGAGCCAGTTTTATTTTTTATATATAGTCGGCGCTCTTTAATTTTTACCCAGTTTGGGCCCACAAGTATTTTTTGAGTGACAACTTCCATCACTTTTTATTATTTACCATGTGGACTGGGAATAACGTGATAACATCAACACTTGTGGCTCTGAGGTTGGTGAAAGGTTGTGGACATTTTAAAGTCAGACACCACACCATACACACAAGCCTTGTATCTAAATTTGAACCCCCATTATCCTGACTAAACAGAACAAACTACAGTTACAGTAACACAATTCCAGTCCTGGAATTGTAGTTCAGCACCTGGAAGGCCAGATAAAATTACACTGACGGCCAGTTTAGGCCTGTAGGCCTTCAGTTTGACATATGTGTGCTAGAGGAATATCTAGACATGGTTATGGTCTATGTGTGTACGAATGTCCATTTTCAGGTACTTCAGTCATTCAGTGCCTAATGATAAGACCAGCCCTATCTGTAGAATGCAACAGCAATCTTGGGGAGATGATTTGTGTGGCATGAAAATTAAGTAAATGTTTAGTTAGTTATTCCTTTTTTTGCCATTATCAAGGGGGTACGTCTACAATTTAAATGTCAGAATAATGTAGCTGGCTCTGGAATTGAGGGCTTCAATCAAAAATGTTTTGGCCAGCCCTACTAATACCTCTGTAGTCTATATATGAGTCTGTCACAAGTCTACAACAGTATGCGTTGGGTAACTATATTTTATAATCCTGAGACAATATTTTAGAACAGCCTTGGCTAGAAATATTCACGTGAACAGACTAGGAACATACTTTGTATGCTTCTATTTCTACTATTAAGTCATATCTTCGTTGTAGATGGTTTTGTGATGCAGAGCAAAATTACTCCCAAATTGTGGGAGATGAACTGAGGCTAAAAAAAAAAATTCTTTAAAAAGGGGGCAGATGTATGACTTGAACTTGGCTTTCATGTGCTTCAGATACGTGATGAAAGTTCTCATTAGTGAAAATAATATGCTTACATTTTTAAAAACATGTTTTGTTTTTCAGAGAGTTGGATTGAGAGATGCCTCAGTGAAAGTGAGAACAAGCGTTACTCCAGTCACACATCTCTTGGGAATGTATCTAATGATGAAAGTAAGTAGACACACCTTTTAGAGGAGCATAGACTTCTATTTCATAAACACGTTCAAAGGAACAGAATTAAACTGTTATTGTTGACTACCAAGCCAACAACCAACATCTCATGCACTTTTTTAGGAATATCTGACATAAAGAACAACTTTATGTCAGCCCTACAGGCATTGATTGGTAAGGCATCGTGGATGTGTGTGGGTGGAGTTGGGGAAACCAAAGTGGACCTGGGCATCCTGGGAGTGTATTGAGGGCTCTGGTGGGCTGCATGAACTCAATAGACCACATGCTGCCCATCGTTTTGTGTGTGTGTGTCAGGAGCAACTTGAGAAACTGCAAGTCACTTCTGGTATGAGAGAATTGGCCATCTGCAAGGATATTGCCAAGGGATGACCAGATATTTTTGATGTTTTACCATCCTTGTGGGAGGCTTCTCTCATGTCTCCATATGGGGAGCTGGAACTGACAGAGGTAGCTCAACCCACTCTCCCCAGATTTGAACCGCTGACTTGGTCAGCAGTTCTGCCAGCAGAAGGCTTTAATCTATTTATTTATTTATTTATTTATTTATTTATTTATTATTTACTATATTTGTATTTTGCTCTTCTCAGCCCTCAGGCAACTCAGAGCGGTTCACAATAGCAAAATTCAATGCTTAAAACTTCATAAAACAGTTAAAAACAATTAAAACAATAGCATTTTAATAATAAATTAAACATCATATAACATCTGTTGCACCGCCAAGGGCTCCTGAAGTAGATAGATGTGTCATGTGGTCCAGCATACATATTAAGTTATTTTTAACAGGAGCAAAAATCATTGGGCATTATGTGTGAGATTTGCAAATATGAATAACAGCATTGATAACTTCTTTTAGCTCGTTTTTTTAAAAAAAGTTCCAATTCTAATGTAGAAGGGAAGTTTCAGGCTGAAAAATCCATTATAAGCTTATGTTTCTTGTTTCTTGATCGCTTGGGAAAGCTACTACAATTCCCACAAACTCCCATACTACTGCATCTGTTTTTTTCATGGGATACATAAGCTTTCTCACTCCATATTGTTTTCTGCTAACCATGTTTTAGTACTTCTGGCATGATCATGTGAACAAATCTGGATTGTTCAGTTTGAATGATAATTCACCTGAAATCTGTTGAGAATTCACGTTGTGAGCAATTTTTTCGCTTTGCCTGTTGTCAGGTCACACAGGTTGTCTATGGCATTTGATACAACCTACAAATTAGCCTGGGTGATGTCAAGACTTCTGTGACACATTTTACCTTATGTTTGTTAAGCTGATGTCAGCTTGCTCTCCTTTGTGATATCATGAACTCTCAATAGCTTTAGCTTGCCTAACCAGGTTGAAGGTGCTGACTGCTATACAGGTTTTTATCCAGATAGTGAGAGTTTGATATGCACTAATGACAAAGCCCCAGACAGTTAAAACTGCCCTTCTCTTCTCAATGGCTGGGAATAGAAAAGAGAAATCATCCAGGGAAGGGGACCAGATGCCTAAATCAGAACCAGGTAACACCACAATTTTACCTGTAGACTTTGTGTCTCACTATATGACAAGGAAAGGATGGGAATTAGGCTTGTGCATGGATTTGGAGTGATCAATTCCCTTCGGCCAATCTGCCTTGTTTGGCTTGGCTGGATGGCTGTAATGGTAAGGGCTCAGCCATCATGTTTTTTCATCCATTATGGAACCATGTGGCAGCCGATCATAGCTCCTCCTCCCCTATTCGGCACCACATGGTGTGGAGAGACTGCTGCATGCTGCTCACACAGGATTTCCCTGTGAGCCCTGCCTGTTGGGCCAATAAGAATAGGAGAATGCCATGGCATGTCTTATGCAAGCTGTGTCTAAGAAAAGGGTCTCAGGAAGGATGCTTCCTTAACCCAGTTCTTCAAACCCAGACTCCCTTGAAAAGACAAAAGGATAGGGTCCCAGGAATGGAAAGGGAAGCCTCGTAAATTCCCCATTCCCACCAATGGCCAAATCTTCTTGGATCTTTCAGCTACGGACTGGAAATTGCTGTTTGGGTTTTTGGGAGGCTTGCAAAAAATGGATCCACAGGTCTCCCAGAACTCAGCTGGCAGAAACGGATTGAGGTTCAGACAAAATGCACAAGCCTAGTGTGGATAGTTATTTCATCAACTACAGTCTGTACTTTGGTAGGCCTCAGAAGAATAGTTAAATTGACATTAATAACTAGGTTGATACCTTTTGGGAAGAGTCACTTCATCCTTAACCTTTTGACCAATTCTGGACCCTGAGGAGCAGTAACATATCAAGTCCACAAAAGGATAACATTTGGCCCTCCAGACACTTTGTACCATGCCTCTCACAATCCATTATCATTGGCCATGGTGAGTTGGGCTGGTAGGAACCTAGAAACCTAAGCCTAGCTCAATACCATCTTCACTGACTGGCAATAAATTTACAGACTTTGAGGCAAATAGCTTTCCCAACACTTGACAATGGGTCTTTTTAACTTGAGATGCTGAGAGGAGACATGATAGACATGTATAAATATGTGAGGGGAAGTCATAGGGAGGAGGGAGCAGGCTTGTTTTCTGCTGCCCCGGAGACTAGGACGCAGAACAATGGCTTCAAACTACAGGAAAGGAGATTCCACCTGAACATTAGGAAGAACTTCCTAACTGTGAGAGCTGTTCAGCAGTGGAACTCTCTGCCCTGGAGTGTGGTGGAGGCTCCTTCTTTGGAGGCTTTTAAACAGAGGCTAGATGACCATTTGTTGGGGGCACTTTGAATGCAATTTTCCTGCATCTTGGCAGGAGGTTGGACTGGATGGCACATGAGGTCTCTTCCTACTTTATGATCCTATGATTCTATGTGTCAAGAACAGAATTCACCTAAGAGTGAGATAGTTAAATATATCTACCTGGGTTGTTTATGGGGCACCAAAGGACTCAAGACAATGGAATTACAGATCTATAAAAGGGAAGTCAGGCTGGAGTAGAAGGAAGCAGTTGTGGAGATGCCATGGAGATGGGGATGAGGACATGCCAGTGGATCAAAGCTTAGTAGCAGTCTGGCAGAACATGTATTTTGCAAACAGAAATTGGAGATTATCCCTAACACTGGGATTCCTTCATGCCCCTTTAAACCATTTTACCAACTGTGCTGAAAATATATTTTCTTTACATTATTATTTTCAACAGATGAGGAGAAAGAGAATAACAGGGCATCCAAACCACATTCTACTCCGGCTACTCTACAATGGTAAGACTCTTTTTTTTCAAAGAAAAAATATAGAGAAAGAAACAGAGAGAAAGATGAAAGAAAACAATGTAGCAATCATCTAGCAAATACATGAAATACATGCAGTATTCTAGATAACCAGTCTGTTTTAATATTCTGTCATCCACACTGATTGGGGAATTCTCAGAGCTGTTGCCCAAAAAGTAACTTTTCCAAGTTCTGATAAGTAGCATAGTATTCAATTGCTACATGGGTAAGAAGAGCATAATAATTTTACATTCACAAAAGCAATGTAAGAAGTAAGGATGAAGTTATTTAATTCATGGAATAAATGTTACTAATTACACTTAGAGGACTTTTAAATATTTAGACAGGAAATCTTCAAGTTGTATGTATTCTTTTATAAATCCTAAAGTTCTCTCTCTCTCTCAAAAATTTACAGAAAACAGTTGAGAGTCACAACACCAATGTAAAAAAAATCCTACGTATTATTTCAACATGTTGTTTTTAAAAGTAAATAATAATAATAATAATAATAATAATAATAATAATAATAATAATGTATTTATTTATTCATTCATTCATTTCCCACTCTATCTCCCTGGGGGGATTCAGGGCGGATTACAAAACACATATACAGCAAACATTCAATGTTGTTATACAATTAACAAGGACAGACAACACATAAACAGAGGTACAGGCTTTTTCTATCTCTGGCATCTGGAGGCTGTGCTCGACTCGGGCCACGGGGAGATGCTGTCACTCCATCTTCCATGCCGAGGAGCTTTGTTGTCCATAGATGTCCTCCTGATTGAATTGCCGGTTTGTCCTTATGTGCTCCTTTTATTACCTTCTCACTTAAAGCGGTACTTATTTATCTACTCGCATGTTTTTGATCTGCTAGGTGAGCAAAAGCTGGGCTGACAGCGGGAGCTCACTCCAACCCAAGCTTGAACTGTGCCAACCTTTCAATCAGCAAGATTTTCTACAGCTGGTGGTTTAACCCGCTGTGCTAAAACCTTCTAAAACTTTCTAAGCTCTCTTTGGGGTCAGTGTAGCTCCTTACTGTTTTCCTATGACAAGAGAAACCAGTAAAAATCATATGGGAAAAGTTGTTTTATGTACTTATTCACACACAAATTCATTAATATGTGCTAAATTATTTCACCTAATTTTATCAGAGTGCAGACTGTAGTAAAGATTTTAATCTTTGATCAGTTTTACATGGTCCCCGATCTCAATCTGTACAACTTATTGCTGTCATTTCACATGAGTTCAAAACTATTTGTATTTGCTAATTATAATTTATTTTGCTCACTCAAACTATGCACCATGTACCCCTTAAATTATTTCACACTCAGTCAGGAGAAATGGGTCTGCTCAGTCTTTTCTGCAGTTTGAGGGAGTCTGCAGATAGATCGTTAGCCAAGAAGTCATCACTAATTGGATCACAGAGCTCTGCTCCCAGAAGAAAACAAGCAAATACTGGCAGCAGCAGCCTCTTTTCAAACACATTTCCAGTATCCTCAAGCATAGAGGTTAGTAAATCCCTAAGCCCCTGGGATACCCTGCACTCCTGGAATGCAGCCATTATTTGCCATTGCATGCCAGATGTCTGAGAGCAAAAAGCCATATTATATCAGTCTGCTCTCCTAACCACTGTTTGAGCTTCATGGCATGTTTTCCTTCCTACAAACATACACATCTATCCCACACAAGTCTGTTTTTGGCTTTTCTGGAAAAGAACTTAATATTCTGCCTTATTCCAAGATTCCTGGATCTATCTCAGTCTATAGAATAATTATAATATTCTGCTTAGGCAAACTGGTCAATCTGCACTTGAATATTTGAGAGATGAAGTACGCTGAGAAGTTTACAGTATTTATTTGGAAGCATTCAAACTATAATGCATGGCTGTATTGTCGAAGGCTTTCATGGCTGGAATCACTCAGTTCTTGTGGGTTTTTTTCGGGCTATATGGCCATGTTCTAGAGGCATTTCTCCTGACGTTTCGCCTGCATCTATGGCAAGCATCCTCAGAGGTGAGGTCTGCTGGAGCTGGGAAAAAAAGGGTTTATATATCTGTGGCTCTTTAAATTTTTTACAATTATCCATTAAGAGAAAGAGAATGGAGCTTCTTGCCCTGCAAGATCTATTGTTTTTAGTATGTGTTTATAAGTCTTGTCTAGGTATGAAGCAAAGTGATGTAGAAATCAAAGGAGATGTAAGAATTTACTTTTTTCAGAAGGAGAAGGTTTTCTTCCAGATTCGAATATCTGATGTGTGCTTCGCTGCGTCACACATAGGAACAGGGGAAGCTGGTGGCTTCCATGTCAGTGGGAAGGTAAATCTACTCTGTGGTTTCTTATGGGCTATCCAAGGTGCTGAAACATGTTTCTCAGACAGGTTCAGCACCTTGGATAGCTCCTTTATAGATTGGGCTAACATCTGTAATGGATTCACTGAAGCTGCCACTGCATAGGAACAGACAACCACAAAGTGTAAGGAAGCACAAAATAAGTGACGCACAAGTCTAACACATCTGGTGGGTTGCAGAAATCTTATTGTTAATGTATACAATCACATTTTATCAGAGCATCATCACTGTTGAATAAAGAGTTGGTTAAAGGTGAACTGCAATAAAGTGTATATATAAAAAGCTACGCAAACACTTGTGTGCACATGTTTATATACACATACACATATATCCCTTTTATTGACTGGGACAAGCATGCATAGATTGCACTTCAAATCAAACAGAAATGTGTTCTAGTCATGTATTATTGTTGTAGTTGTACCTTCAAATTAGCTGTAGCTTATGATATAATGGGAATTCTTCTGCAACATTTGTTCAGAGGGCATTTGTCACTGCTTTCTTCTTAGGCTGAGAGCAAGTGACTTGACTAACACCACCTATTTGATTTTCATGGCTGAGCAAGGATTTGAATCAAGGTCTCCTGGAGTATCAGCCCAACACTAAAATCACTACACTGCTCTGGCTCTGTATTGTAGGCTATTAAGTATCATACTGGGTTTTTTTTTTTTTGCCTTAGTCCCAGTGTGGTTACCACCAGAAAATTAATGGCAGTCCTCCTAGCTGGCAGCCTCAGCTCTACCATTTCTTCTTTTGTAAAGGCATGATCAATCATAACCTTTTGTAAAAGTATGATCTTCCAGAGAAGAGCAAAAAAAAAAAAAAAGACTCATTTTAGTAAAATCTTCTCTTCAGTGGTATATAACAACATGTACTTATGCAAGGCAATTTGGCTTTCAGTTGTTAGACTGCTAACCTAGTTGTCTCTGATCTGTTAGGAACAGAAGTTGTGCCAATGCACAAAAACAGCAGAGTTTCAGAAGTATTCTTTTCAGTGCTCAAAAACATCTACTCTCCCAGAAAACATGTTGTTTCTATATCATGCTCTCAAGAGACAAAAATAAAGTAGGCTTTGGTAAAATAACATATTTGATTTACTCACAACCTTCATGTGTTCAGCATAAAACAGGCGCATAGCTTATCAGTCTAGTTTCAGATATGTTTGAGATAGTTTGTGTGCAGACGGCAGAAGCATCTTTCTTACAATCAACAGCAACATGAGTTTGCTCTTAACAGTCCAAAGTCTAATAGCGTCTCTGTATTCTCTAAAATGGAGTCTGAGATCTGAGCAGTCCCAGATCTGATCATGTGGTTTGTAGCCCCTCCCACAACCTCAAGAAACGTAGAGTAACCTGTGTACCATAACATACATGTACAATTCAGTAAGCAAACAGAATCATATATAAAACAAATTACTAGGAGAGGCTTGAAGAAGATTTCTGTTTCCAACATCTTCTATGTGAAATAGGAGAGCAAATACCATGTTGCCGTTTCCCTTAGTCAGCAAAATTGTTTGGGCTGGCCTAGTTTTATATTAGTCTCGGTAGGATTCACCGGTGCAGCAAGTGGATATTAATTAATACAAAAGGGATTACTGTAATTGAATTATTTTAAAACATTATTTTAGTTTTATAATATTATTTGATGTTCTGTAAGTATCTTTAAATGGAATGCTGGGTGTTGATATTGCTTTAAAATACGTAGTTGTGGCAGTAGACTGAGTTCATTATCTGCAAAAGGCCGAAGCTGAGTTCAAAATATGACTTAAGTTATCTCTTTTTATAAAAAAAGTAGAAAAAAGATGTTAGGTTTCTGATCATTAATGAAAAGTCCAGGTACAATGGAACATTGTTCAGTGTCAGGCTAATGACTGTCTGTGAAAAAGAGGGGAAAAGAAGGGAAAAATTCATCAGATATGATGAAGAGAAATAATTAACTGCCTTTCTTTCGATCCTGCCTTGGTTAGAGAAACTGACATGCCAATTAGCAGCTAGAGCATACGAGGGAAGTCTGGGCTTTGAAAAGAGGTTTTGTTGTGGTCCATGAATTTAAGGAAAGATGCAGTGATGATATTCTACTAGAAAGAAAGGAAGAATAGATCTTGCCCTTACAAACAGAGTCTATTCATCCCACCAAATATCTTATTAAAATAGTTTGCAGGAACAAATTGCCATCATAATTTTAATGATAAGGAGGGGAAAGAATCCCAGAACAAGGTAACCAGAAAATTTGAATTTATTTTTCAAATGGCTTGCTGTATATAGGGGGAATATTTAGAGATATCTGTATTTTTCAAAACCAGATTTGCCACACTAATATTAATTATAGGAATGGATTTATCTATGTATCCATTTCAAGTTGCAATTCAATAATATTATAAAGAGCTATTTGGGCAAAACTACTTGCTACTATTGGGATTGAAAATCAGAACTTGGAAAATTACATTTTATCAACTAATTAGTTGCAATTATAGTCTGAACTACTGTAAATCTGGTTAGTCACTATTTGTTCCAGTGGAAGCAAGTTGCCATTTTAGTTACCAGTTTAAAAAGTAACTGTTCTGTGTTCCAGATTATCTGAAATGACTAACATAATTTGAGTTACATTTTCAATAAGCTTGTGAATGCTACAAGCTTCAAATTAACTATGTTAGTAGAAAGCTATGTTAGTCCAAACTTCAAATTAAGTATGTCATCTCGTTTTCCTTCATGTTGGCTTAACAGGAGGGAGGAGGCAGTAGGACATAGCGACTATTGAACCATATGAGATTGTGCCTCCTCATTTATCAAAGCCAACCCTCTATAAATAGAAAATCAAATTGAAAGTTTCAATTACCCCAGGAGGTTTTGGTTTTTTTTCTTCGCGTCAGGAGCAACTGCAAGTTGCTTCTGGTGTGAGATAAGTGGCTGTCTGCAAGGACGTTGCCCTGGGGGCACCAAAATATTTTGATGTTTTACCATCCTTGTGGGAGGCTTCTCTCATGTCCCCACATGGGGAGTTGGAGCTGACAAAGGAAGCTCATCCATGCTCTCCCCAGATTAGAACCTCTGACTTGTCAGTCTTCAGTCTTGCTGGCACAAGGGTTTAACCCATTGCGCCACTGGGGGCTCCTACGCCAGGAATATGATATTACCATGTCAATCTCAAAGGGATATGAGACAGTTTACCAGAAGTCTTCCTGCAAAGTGTTGCATATCTTCCAATGTCATCCTGTATTTTAAAACAGAAATAATATTGTGACTGTTAAACACAGCTGTTAGTTCCAATTAGAGTAAACACATTGTATCAATGTGTTTTGTTAATATATTGATTCAATTGGTCTACTCCAGTTCAAGTGACCAGATGGATTTAGCTGAATGTGATTGCACACTGGCCAACACACATTTTGGTGCCTCAAATGTTAAGCTTGTTTTGGGATATATTTGACCCACTGATTCCAAAAATGGCACCAGTTTTTCCCTATCAGCTCTAATTTCTGAGATGTAGAACATATGCCTTCTACCAGTCAACATCTGCTTGGCCATAGAAAACCATGATATCCAAGACAATGTTCTGAATCAACACTCCAGGAACAGACCTACAAACCAAGATACCAAGAACAGACCTACAAACCTATTTGAAGAATAAAGCAAAGAACAGTCTAACCTAACGGCCCTTTGCAGATACAGATGTTGCAACACAGGGCCACCAACATATTTGTAGTTTCCTTTGTCTGATCTTTGTTTTGAAGGCTGGAGGAGAACTACGAGATTGCAGAAGGAGTTTGCATCCCTCGAAGTGCCCTCTATATGCACTACTTGGACTTCTGTGAGAAAAATGACACTCAGCCTGTCAATGCTGCTAGTTTTGGAAAGGTGAGTACTATATTTTCCTACAAAATTTCATTCACAAGGCTTTAAAGATTGGAATGGCAATGCTATAAGATATGCTATCCCATCATTATCTTCCATCCAATTCAGTGACCTCCAGATGTGTTTGTTAAAGGGGTTGAATAAATATAGGTGATTGAATCCAGCTCATTTGAAGGGTGCCTAGTCGTAGGAAGGCTATAGTAAACAGAAGCCCCTTCTACACTGTCTGCTTTGAACTGGACTATATAGCAGTGTATACAGATAATCCAGTTCAAAGCAGATAATGTGGATTATCTGATCTGATAATCTGGATTATATGGTAGTGTAGAAAGGATCAGAGTCAAGCTGTGGGAAAGAGAATTTTGCATCTATGTTTACAGAATCTTCAGCACACTTTGCTCAGAAAGACATATTTTGAACTTTTTATTTGGAAGGCAATGTCTTGAATTAATTGGGTTATTATTGGCATCAGTGTCAGGAAGTATTTTGAGAGCATGGGATTTAAGTTAAGCATTACCTGAATGGATTTGTCAAGCAGCTGGTGATTATATTAATTATGGTATTGATATAATACTATAGAGATTACTTAAATTAGTCCAGGCAAGATTTAAGGAAATTATTTTAGTATCTGGAAACTGGGTTGGCTACCTGACTTAAAGAAGCAATTGCATAACCTGGGTCCATCTAGCCTCTTCTTTGCTTTCATATTCAAATTTGTTTTCTTTTTGTGAAATGTAAACACAATCTACCAACCCTTGAAGATACATATTGGTCTGTCAGTTAACAAAATCCAACACATTCTGAGTCACTGGATAACTTTCAGATGTTGCAAATCAGGGCTGTCCTTTAACAACAACAACAACAACTACTACTACTACTTTATTTTTATACCCCACCAACTATCTCCACAAAAAGACTCGGGACGGCTTACATGGGGACCAGGCCCATACAGTATGAAATCTGCAAAAACAAAACACTGGGAGTTGTGATAACATTGTGCTTTTTCTTTATTACCTGCTTCGGTGCCCTGTATAAGTCCAGACTAATTTCAAAATACATGTTCTGACCCTAATATCTTTCACAGTTTGGGACCAGGAGTTAGGAAGGACCCCTTGCCTTTATTCGTTCTTGCCCACACACAAAGATCTTTGATGAAATTCCCTCTTTGGGTGGTCTTTCTTTCTGAGATGGAGGTTGGAACGTCTTCTGAATAAGTCTTACCAAGAAAATTCAATAATAGGTTCATCTTAGAGCTTTGAAGGTACACAATAAGATATTGCCAGTTTAGCTAGAAAGAGGCAAATTTGATTTCTCTCTTACCTTTGCTTCTCATGATCCCTTGCTTCCAGGCTGGCTACTTTCAGAAGAGGAAGGTAGTGCAAATCTTGACTCCTTCAGATTCCCAGATTCACAAAGTGAATTGCCTTGTTTGAAAACCTCCAGAGATGACAATCCCCATTTGATATAATTCTCAAGTACTCATATATAAAGGCCTAAATATTCTAAACACACCAGATCCTGTTTGATCTTGGAAGCTATGTAGGGTTAGTTAGTATTTCGATGGGAGATAGCCAATGACTACCAAGTGCTAGAGGCTGTATTTCAGAGGAAATGATTGGCAAAACCTCCTCTGAGTAACCCTTGCCTAAGGAAACTCTATGAAATTCATGGGGTCGCCATAAGATGACTTTAAGGCACACATGGACACTAAATGACTGGTTTCCAGGACTCCATAGGATGGCTCCCTGGCAGTTGTCCTCTCATTTGGGGCAGCTTTTCTCACAGCCCTCACAAAGTGCATAGAGAGAAGAAGACGAGAGTTATCCAGCATCACTATTGCCTCCTCCCTCTCAAAGGAGTTCAAGGGCCATTAGAGCAGTGGTTCTCAACCTGTGATGATCTGTGATGATTCCCAGATGATTTGGCCTTCAACATCCAACATCCTTCAACAGCTGGAAAACTGGCTGGGATTTCTGGGAGTTGTAGGCGAAAACACCTGGGGATCCACAGGTTGAGAACCACTGCATTAGAGGATCTGATGTCATGCATTTTCCTCTCCTCCTCATTCCATGGCAGGAAAAGTGAAAACAGAGATAGGGTTATACTTACACATGTACATTCTTAGAAGTGGATAGAGATGCTGGCATTGAAGAACAGCCATAATGGTTCTTCTTTTTTAAAAAAAATGCCTTTGCGAAGAAGTGCTGTATGTGTGCTGTGGGAGCATTCCCTCTACTTGTCCTAGTCTAAAAGGTCCCATCTACACTGCCATCTAATGCAGTCGAAAATGCATTATATGAGTCTACACTGCCCATATGAAACAGATGGGGCCTAAGTTGTGCTACTGGAGGGGAAGCTTACTCATACTGGGTTGTGGATAGCACAAGAATAGTGCTGAGTCCAAACTTTATGAACACGTGGGAAGTCTCCAGGGCTATGGAGTCCCAGTGCATGGGCAAATTTTGCTAACAATCCTATTAATTAAACCTAAACACCTTTTGTGGTAGGTTGAAGTTCTTTACCATACTATTGCATCCCTTAATCCCAAATTAGGAGAAAGCTGGGATATTGCTGAATTGATGGTTTTGATTTGTTTTACACTTGAAAGGGTCCAAAGAAATGTTCCTTCTAATTTGTTTGTTGGACTTCTGAAAGTCAGCGAGCAAGCTGGGATATTTCATTTTGCCCTAGGTCTGTTGAGCAAATATCCTATTTGGAAGACTGGAGCTGTACTTTCTAAACACCCTCCTAACTGAACCTGGAAAATGCCCTTTCCCCCCACACTCCTTAGAAGCCCCCATCCCTTGTCTGCACAAACTGAAAGAGAGAGGGGTGGGATTAATGTGTAATTAAAGAGAATTTGGAAGGCTGAGATGTTGCGGAATGTTAGATCAGTAGCTGGAACAGCATGTGGTGTTCTTTAGGTAGGCTTCATTGAATCCATACAAAGAAAGAGAGAAAGAGAGAGAGGGAGAGGGAGAGAGGCTGCTTGCCTTGTCTGCTCATTTATCAAATAGCTAGCCTGAACTTTCACAGCTCCACAAAAGTGTTTTTCTGTTTGCTAATTCTACCCACCCTGCTTAGCGCCAGAAATTAAACCAGAATGGCTTTCGGAATTCACATTTCTGAAATATTCTGCACACAACACAATGCATACACAGAGGGCATTCTTGATAAGGTTTGTGTGTCAGTGGAAATTGGTTTCCTATTATAAAAAAAGAAAAACAAGAGTAGTAAAAGGGGAGGATAAATAGAAATTACGATGTAAATAGTATTGCGTGAAATTATCAAGTTTGGTTTGGTTTTGCATAGCAGCTCTAATCCAAAAATACTCCACAAAACTATCAATCAATGCATAGAACTTAATTATTAGTTTGCTATTTATGACAGAGAAAGAGCAATAAAAACAAATGGATGCAAAGGATTGCATTCGTTGCATCATGTGTCTCAAATTAAATGATTTTGCTGAGGAAATTAAAAATTATGATTTATAAATAATGTATGTATTATTTTGTTTACATGGTTTTACTTATTTTTTGGGAGGAAGGTGGAATGTTTACAAACTTGACACAGCATATTAAAACAACATTTTGCACCACTTGGTTTTTGCCCTCTTTTTTGTCTCAGTGCTGTTTATATGATCCTGATTTTCGCATGTAATTTTGCCATTTGTGTAGAATTAAATGAGGAAATATCCTGACAAATTCATGTTTTCAGTAAACGGACACAATATTGGATATTTTAATGCTTTACTCCTTTGAGATTTTGTCAAAATACGAAAAAAAATGCAGGATCTAGAACAGGTACTCAGCAAGCATCTTCTTTGTGAAAATTCTGTGCAACCCAAGCATTTTTAGTAATAGTTGCACACAATCCACATGTTTTTCATATTGTGTAAATACTAGTATGCAGGATATATCAGAGTATGCCTTTTGGGAATCTTGACCTGTTTTTTTAAAATCTGTTTTGAGCTAAGGGAAGAAGGCAACAGCTGCATGCATTTTTGAAACACCAGCCCACCCAAAACCATTCTTTTGTTTTGATTCTTCTCACTGTACTTTGTGTTCACATGTCCTTATCATCACAATTTTCAAAAAGTTTGTTGATTTCCAACAAACATTTGAGGGTTAAGACTTGAAAAATTCAGATTTGTGGCAGAGAGGAGGAGCCCCTGTTTTTATTGCACATTGTATTGTTTTGGTTGTAGAACATAGGAATTATGTAAAGAAGACCCCCCCCCCCTTCTTTCAAGCTGTTGTTGTTTTAAAATCTCTTAACTATGGGATTAACCAAACTATCATATTCAAATCCCTGGGGGGACTTGACCAAAATTCCTGTAGTTAATTGCATTTCTTAGGACCTCATCTCATTGGAGAAGGTATCACTTTACATCCAGTTTCTGCCTCCTGCAGAATTCTGGGGTTTGCAGCTTAGTGAGGCTGTTAATGGCTCCTCCCTAAACTACAAACCCCAGAATTCCGCAGGAGGCAGCAACTGGATTTAAAATGGATTCATTCTCATTTCATCTTGTCCATTTGGCCTGCCCATTGTGTTTGATTTTCTAGTATGCTATTTTACTTTGTTTACTTTATTTTGCCACTGTATGTACTTTATTGTGATGTAATTTTTGTTGTTGTATTTTGCACTTTATTTTGCTGTATTGTATCTTTGGGCTTGGCCTCATGTTAGCTGCCCTGAGTCACCTTCGGGGAGATGGTGGCGGGGTATAAATAAAGATGATGATGATGATGATGATGATGATGATGATGATGATGATTATTGTGTGATGAGGCCATCAAAGAAACAGTGGGAAATGGCTTATTTAATTACACCGCAACAACTTAATAAATTAAATCTGCAGCCATATCAATGTTGAAAAGCCAACAGAAGTCAATGAAGTTTTAACATTAATTACTTTGTCCCTACTTTGTCCCTGTCACTGAAGAGGCTAGGAAAATCCTGGGCATATTTCACTGAAACTGTTCTGGTCAGATGTTACTCTATGTTCCCAAAAGTGTTTTTATTTTTTAACAGTATTAATTAAATATATTTGGATGAGATGCTATTTCCCAACATCCAAAACAACCTGCAGGGCTGGAGATGTCAGCCCAGAATCTGAATAGAGCAGGAGTTTGAGTGCATATACACCAGTGCTTCTCAACCTGTGGGTCCCTAGATGATTTGGCCTTCAACTCCCTGAAATCCTAATAGCTGGTGAATTGGCTAGGATTTTGGGGAATTGTAGGCCAAAACACCTAGGGACCCACAGGTTGAGAACCACTGATAGAAATAATGCAGTCTGGCACCACTTTAACTACCATGGCTCAATGCTATGGAATTCTGGAATTTTTGTAGTTTTATACATTCTTTAGCCTTTCCTGCCAATGAGTGCTAGCTAGTACCTCATGAAATTATAGCTCCCATCATTCCATAGCATCGAGCCATGGTGTCAAATTGTATTAATTCTACTTCAATATATTTGTTTGCCTTCTGAAGAGGCCCCAATTTCTAGGTCTGGCCGGTCTTTTTCCTGACAACATTGTATGTACCTATATGATGTAATATAATGTACAATTATATGTGTGCATTGAGATGCATGAGCAGTTAAGTGTAGCTGGATGAAACCAAATGTTCACAATTATATTTCCTATAGTGGTCAGCTAAATTCATCTGGAAAGGTCTCCAGGAGGCAGGATGGTCATCTAAAGCAGATATTGTTGGGCAGCTGCAAAGTCCCACATTGCCTTGCTAGGTTTTCCACCAATCGATGGACCATATGACCTTGCACCTCCTCCTTGTTACTCCTGGATGTTCATCTCTCTTCCCTGAGCAAATAACCAAAGACAGGGAGAATTAACTTCTTCCCCCTTCTCTCCTGGCCCAAGGCCCTAGCCAAAAGAGTCAATGATGAAGAATGCTAGGAACTGTGGTTCAACAACATGTGGAAGACCAGAAAATTCCCACTTAGATACATTTTGAAGTGCTGCAACTTCATTAAGAAAAGCCCTCATTAATATATGGATATTATTTGCAGATAATAAGACAACAGTTTCCACAGTTAACAACCAGAAGACTTGGAACCAGAGGCCAGTCAAAGTAAGCAACAATGTGTGTTTCATAATCATGAAAAGGCGAAGTATGGTATAGAATATTCACTGCAGGTTCATCTATAACATGAGTGTTGAGGATTGCTTCTGTGGGGATGAGGAGGGAGGAAGGACACTAAACAGTTTTGACTGTTTGTATGTCTAGCAAACAGAATTTTGTCCCCCTGTTTTTTATTTATTTGAATCAATAGAATTTCTAAGACAGTATGGCCAGTTACAAATAAAGATGGGCTCTTGTACTTCCAATGCAGAGATGAACAATATGCAACTCTTTGGACATATTAGACTTCAATTCCAGCAGCCTTTGCCTGTATTGCCAGTGGTGAGGAATGTTGGGAGTTTCAGTCTAATAACTTTTGGAAGGACACACTTTGTCAGCTCCTGCCCTAATTCTTAGATAGAAATCAAGGTATAGAAAAGCAGTATGAATTGGGCTACTTGTCCGCTGATCATCTGGGAAGGGATGCTAGGGCTTGTGTATGTATTTGCCTTCGAGTTGCCTGTTAACCTCTGGGGACCCCATGAAGAGACACTTAGGCAAGAAATTGAGGTTTTGCCACTTCCTTCCTCTTAAATATGACCTACAGCACCTGGAATATGTTGGCAGTTCCCATCCAAGTATTAACCAGAACTGACCATGCTTAGCTTCCAAGAATAGATGGGATCTGGTGCCTTGAGGACTTAGGGGTTGGAGATAGTCGCTGTGCCTCTGAACATGGTAGACATGTGGCTGTTCCTAGACTTTAGAACTTCCCACTCCTAAAGGAGGCTCAGTTGCTCCTTTCCCATGCTTTCCTTCCTGTATAGGCAAAGACCTTCATCTCCCAAATCCGATAAATAGTGGTTTAGAAGATGGAATCACAGCAGGCAATATCTCCTCCCCACCAGGTATTATTATGCACCAGAAATGGGAAATCTTGTGCCACCTCAACTGCCTTCCATACATCCACTGGCAGAGACATACAGGCAGTTCCTGAATTACAAACATCTGACTTACAACCGACTCATAGTTAATAACAGGGGTGAAACAACAGGAAATGAGAAGACATCTACCCCTCGGAATGGAAATTCACTCCTGGGAGAGTTATCATGGGGAAAAGGTGTCTCCACTCAAGCTTTATCACCAATCCTTGTTTCAACGAGAAGCCAAATTTTTCAAAATCTAATTATGACAGGGAGGGAAAGTGAGGGGAAATTACAGACAGAAAAACAAACATCTCAGGGGTGTTAACCCTTCCCTAGGCTATCTAAAGCACTATCTATCTATCTATCTATCTATCTATCTATCTATTTATCTATGGAGTAACACTGTTCCAACTTACATACAAATTCAACTTAAAAACAAGTCGACAGAACCTATCTTGTCCGTAATTTGGGGACTGGCTTCACTTAGTTAACGTGATGCAGAATCTTAGCCCCGGAGTCCTGATAGTTGTGGTTACTACTAACATCAGTAGAAGAAGCCATGCCATGGGGAAGGCCAGGTTTCAGTTGCAAAATAGGCTAGAAGTTTGAAGGTGAACTCTGGTGTGAACCTAGGAGATCAGGACAGCCGTGCCTATCATCTACCCTAAGGAATATCAGTGGGATAAGGATCTGGACTCCAACTTTTTTTTAGCACCCTAGTTCATACTGGGCATCTGATTTATAAACTGCACCAAACTGAAATTTGATAGCAACTTAGCTTAAGACTGTCATATTATTTCATTTGTACTCATGTGTTCACGTGTAAACTGATGCAAAATCTGGTAATATTTTAGCAGTTTTGTACTGATAAAATACATCCTTTTCCATTTGTTTTTCAATGTATATTTCAACATTTCAGATACCATTACTATGGCATTGCAGTAAAAGAGAGTTCTCAGTATTATGACGTGATGTATTCTAAGAAAGGAGCAGCGTGGGTCAATGAAACAGGAAAAAAAGAAGTAACCAAACAGACAGTGGCATATTCACCACGATCCAAACTTGGGACATTGCTGCCAGAGTTTCCAAATGTCAAGGATCTAAATCTGCCATCCAGCTTGCCAGAGGAGAAGGTGACGCTAGTGAAATAGCCATTTCCTTCCAGTGCTTTTTGATTTTCCTTCTTTTGATAAAAGGTTGACTTAACATCTTAAAAAAGAAAACACCCCTCGAGAAGACTGAGTTGTAAAAGTTCTGTCTTAATTTATGAGGAACTTAACTGACCACTACACCAGAAACAAATACCTCCCTTCTTGGCTCAGTGTTGTGGGTTTTCTGTGTGATGCACATGTGAAATTGTTTTTCTTTGCCTTAGGGAGGGGGGCAAAGTTGACATTATACAGGAGATCTGTCACTGACTCTTCCAACTTCTTACATTAACCTTCCAACAGCATGAAATCATTCACATTAACCCTTATGATATGCCCATCACCAGTTAGGCAAATGTCTGATATGCCCATCACCAGTTAGGTAAATGATAATTAGGCTAATGAGTATAAAGGTCTTTTTGGTTGTGTTCACACACATCTGGAATGAGCTTCTATGTGGGATTCATTGGGCTCCTTCAAGAAATCTATTTTCTCTGTTTTTCTCCATCTGTATTTTCTGATTTCTTAATATTTGGGCAGCAGGGGTTTTTATTTTATAATCACTGATCTTATGTTATTTTATCTCCTTTCTTATGTATTGTAAAATTGCTTAGATATGTTCCATTTTTGTATATAGCCGAAACATAATTTAAAATATGAATAAATAGTTGTAATTCAGGGCCACAAAGCCAAAGGTTGAGTCCTTCTCCACAGGTCATTTTCCTAACTTATCATCCCAAATTAGTAGCCACATAAGTTTTGGGGAGAGATAAATGCATCATGGATGCTTATTTTACCAAGAAGAATTATACATTCAATCCTCTTTACTGGGGTTCCAATCTCCCTCACAACCCTTCAATCACACCCCCCCCCCCCCCCCCCCCCCCCCCCCCCGCCCCCACAAACCCAACTTGATTATGGGAGAGCCAGTCACAGATCTCCAGTGTCTTGCCCAGTTTGACAGGTAGTTGAGTTTTGAGAAACTCTCAGAGATTAAATCATAGAGCCAAATTGTTGTAACATATTATCTGTTCAGATAGTATAGAAGAGTCCATTTACTTACTAATACTGTTTTCTCTTTTAAATAATGTCTATGAGAAGATGATATTCCAAATGCTGAGCGGCTAGTGACAAGTCAGGCACAACAGCAGATCAAATTGAAAGTGTAGATAACTTGCTAGAGCTTAGAAAAGTTACTTTTTGAATTACAATGGGAGGATTTGGATGGACATTATTTAAAAATAACTTTTCCAAGTTCTCAGTTTCTGGTTTAGATTTCTCTGGCTCAAGGTTTCCTGATGGATTGGTGATAATAATGTTGCACTCCAGGCCTGGAAAAACCTATGACCGCTGCACCACACAAGACTCCGGAAATATAAGCAAACAGTTTATTATAAAAACACATTAAAAGTATATAAAATTAGGAATAAGAAAAGAATATATATACTCCAAAAAAGGATTAGCAACAGATATAACCAAACAGTAATCCAAAAGTCTCATAAAATTCCAAAGGTGACAAAGTCTCGGAACAGCATACAGCATAAGTATAAGCAAGAAGGTATAACTAGTAAAAACTTGAACAGGAATACAGGAACAGAAACATAGGAAATTTCCAAGATATTAAAAACTAAAATCAAGGCTTGACTTGAACCAAGAACCAGAGAACTCAGGCTTAGCTTCTCTAATGTTACATTGACCTTAACTGACCTTAAGGTAAACAACTTGCTGTTTAATAAACACCTATGAAATCTTTCCATTTCCCAGGAATTTTCTCCACAACTTTCCCACCTAATCTCTCTGAACGACACAATCTATTCTCTGATCTGTAAACAAAGACTTTTGTTGATTTCCGTAACTACTGGTGGTTTCTCCTGGGAGCCCTCCTTATCACTGAGCTCTTCACTTGATTCCTGGTCTATTGTTGCTACCTCTGACTCCCCTGAATGCCCTTGACTCTCTGCATTTTCCGAGCCAGTTTTCTCACAGAGAGAACCATCATTTCACAGGCTTGACTTTCCCAGACTTGAAGGCCCATTACTTTGTGCCACAGATAAGCTCACAATCCTCTCTAAATCATCAGTTAAACCACCAGCCTCTTGCTGATCTACAAAAAACAATAATAACAACTATAATAATTATTATTTTATTTACCTGCATCTCCTTGTAACTAAAGTTGGGTTACAACATAGTTAAAACACATAAACATTGTAAAAATCTATAAATACACACATTAAATGCATTTCTATAAAAGATACATATTAAAACACCTAGTTCCTTTACACTCTGTGCCCTTCTGACTCAGCAAGCTTTAAGCCCTCTGTGTCAGGTCTCCGCTTGGAGTTGGGACCACAACAACATTAGACCAAAGTAGAAAGGGTTTTTCATTTTTCTTTTCCTCCACCAGGTATCTACTTTTATTATGATGTACAGAACACACTGTCAGAGGATACTTGACACTGTAATAAGAGCCAACTTTGACGAGGTTAGTAGAGAAACAAAAAGATATTTATGAACAATTATCCTTTTCTATGTTGTGCTGCATTTAGAATGATAATTTGAGTCCTTTCTCCATCATTTAATGCAGTTAGCTAGCTTCAAACGAAGGTGGAAATAGTCAATGAAAATACAAAAAAATGTGCATGAAAGAAAGCCCTTAATGCATATTATTGCTCTGTGATTTGTCTAATTAGCTTCAAACTTATTCTATAGTTTCATATGTAGCCATCTGCACAACAAAACAACTTTCTTCATTACAGATTTGAAACTTTCTTAAGTGGTTAGTGGTTAGTGTAGATGTGCCCCTTGTTACTGATATTGATTGGCTGAGCTGCTGTGATGGTTCAAAATGTTTAGTTGCTCAAGGAAAAAAAACAATCTAGAAAAGTTTAGTTTTTGTTATAGACGGGAAACAGATTGGTTGGAACTAATGCTTCGGAGATGGTGGCAGAGAAAGAGGTTCTGTAGAACAAATGCCTCCAGCAAGAATGTCAGTAAGAATTTATTGTGTTTGTGTACTTCTAGGTTCAAAGTTTTCTTCTGCACTTTTGGCAAGGGATGCCACCTCACATGCTTCCAGTACTGGGATCTTCCACGGTAGTAAATATAGTTGGAGTTTGTGATTCCATATTATATAAAGCTATTTCTGGTGTCTTGATGCCAACCGTGTTGCAGGCATTGCCTGACAGGTGAGTATAATTTTACTAGGCTGGTGTTTGTGAGTGTTCATGTGTGTTTATTTCTCCATGACTCTAATCTTAAACAAAGAGGTTTTCCTGTGAAAGGGAAATGGACATCTAGGAATGGTATTAGCATGAAGAGTTTGTGTCCCAATCCAAACAGGGCTGATTGAGGCAGCAGAGATGAAATTCAGTCTGATCCAAATGGGTCAGAGTTAGCAGCCTCACACAGGATAAGTTACCTGAATTTAAAAGGTATATCTGTGAAAATGGTAGCATAAGCAGATCTGATGTATCTATCAGACTGTATTATTGGCAGGAATGACAATATATTTATGTACATTGTCACAAGTGAAATCCAGTTTTCTTGATGAATTACTGCTTTGTGAAACTGTTTTGTAAACTGTACTTGATCATCTCTTTCTTTTTGAGCTCTATGTTATTTTAAAGATATACACATAGATATTTTGTTCAGCCTTTAAGGATATTGGCAGGTATTTTATGGATTCTGTATTGTAAACTTTTACTTTATAATCAATTCACAGTGAAGTCCTGAACAGAGATATTCAGAAGTAAATGGGATTTTTCCCCAAATAAATATGTACACAATTGTACTTCTAATGGACCAAATGCCAAGTAGGATTTCAACCTCAGGATTTAAGTACTGACAAGGAGCATGTTTTCATGCCTGAAAGGTATTAAAACAAAAACAGAGCTGCAACCTAGATTTTTGAAGTGGTGTTTTTCCTTTTCAGCTTGACCCAGGTGATCCGAAAGTTTGCCAAACAGCTGGATGAGTGGCTAAAAGTGGCTCTCCACGACTTGCCAGAAAACTTACGCAATATCAAGTTTGAGTGTACGTACTATATAATCTCTTACTCTGGACAGGAAAAGATTGCGGCATCAACCAATGCTGGTGACAAACATAGAATTTAGTAATTCAAATAAAATTATTCTTTCTTATTCTTAGCCAACTAAGTCAGAATATGTATAAAGGTAGATTTGGGTCTAATACTTGATGTCTAAGCAAACTGAAGCAGATTGAGAAAGGTTTTTGTCACTATTTCACAGTAAGATCAACAAAATCCACGTTTCTCCAAATTAAACTGCTGTAGTACAAGAAAAATCACTTTGTTGAAGTGAAAACGTCACCTTGGGAAAGAATAACCAAAAGTTATCCAACTTTTTCTCAAAAGAACTGTTGATTCAGTTCAATCCAGGCAGTGAAATCAAATTCATGAATTTATATTCTAACCTCTCTAAACTGTATATATGTGCCTTCAAATTGCCTATCAACTTATAATGACCCCATGAAATTCATAGGGTTATCTTAGACAAAGAATACTCAGAAGTACTTTGCCATTGCCTTTTTCAGAAAGTAAACCAGGCTCTCAGTTTAAAAAATACTTTCCATGAGGATCCAGGAAATCATTATGTCCAACACACACACATTCATGGCAGAAAAGAGCCTACTGACAAGGTTCAAGTAGACATAGTAGACAACAGTCATCCGTACTTGGCAAAAATGAAGGAGCTTTATTGCAAGAACTTCCCTTCTTCAGACGATTCTAGAAGAACCCTATGTCTATGGGCTTATATGGACAATCCACACACTCTGCTGGAATCCTTATTTTCCATGGATGAGTCAATGTGGGACCACCTGCTTTTCTGATACGGCTGATACGAAGCATAGACTTCAGTGCATGATTTCTTGTGTTGCCTGAACAGCAGCAGCCAGTAATCTGTCTTGCCTTTTCCTTGCCAACCTTGGAGGTTACCAATAATGTAACTAAGGCCAGACTCAAAGAATCAAAGCATGAAGAATGTTTGACTGCCAATGATAGTTATGTCATCTGTCAATCCTTTCAGACTCCCTTGACCCTCTGAGCTTTGCTTCAATCCCCACAGTAAAGGGATAGAAATGATACCCCTCACCCAGAAATAATAGATTGCTGTCTCACCATTGAATAAAAAAATGATAATGCTTGGTAAAGTGGAAGAATAGGAACAGAGAAAAGCCAGTCACTGATGAACAGATCCAATCAAGGAAGCCATGGCTCTGAGTTTGAAAGTCCTAAGCTCCATCCTGGTGATCAAAGTTCTTGGTCATCTCTCATTCATAAGATCACCAGAAGTCATAGCTATACATATACCTTACTAAGCAAAATGATTTTAGGATTGCTTGGTACTTGAATGGGAAATTAAATCTGAAAACATGTTCCTGTTCAACTCGAAAAACTTCCAGATTGCTTTGTTGATATGCCTGTAGTTATGAGGATTGTCACACTATATTATGGAATATCAATATTTGCCATGGGAGAGCATGAGATGCACACCATGATGGAAAGATCTATGTTTTGTTTAGCTGCTCCTGTTGCAGGTGGGAGCAAATCGAACTCAAGAGTCAGTATTCTGAGTATTTTGAGTATTTTGAGTAATTTAGTGCAATCTGGTAATGGAACATAGGAATGGAACAATGGACGATGAACCTGGACTACGCTTGGATGATGAGAAGATTGGGTACGGTTGTTTTTTGTAATAATTGTGCATTGTAATTGCTTATTGGTAATTTATGGATAATGTGTTAAGTCAATTGTTATATGTTGTATGGAACCACTGCTGTTTCTACTGTTTTTACTGTTTGTGAACCGCCGTGAGTCGCCTTCAGGCTTGAGATACAGCGGTATATAAGCAAAGTAAATAAATAATAAATAATAATATTCTGATCTGTCCTCAGCAAACAAGGAATTCCACTGAATTTTGATGTGCTGTGACTATTAAAATTAGACCCTTACAAACCCACTCCTGACCTACATAAATCATCCCTCCCCAGACTATTAGTGGCCGTGTATCACTTGAAATGGCACTGAATTTGGGAGAATCAGCATTAATAGATCATTCTTCTGGCTTTGAAGAACAAGACGAACCTTCTTTTCACCAATTGCTTGAGCATAATTTTTGCAAATTCAAGCCATTCAAGAACTCTCAAGACTTTGGACTTTTTGAATACAGCTTGAGGCCTTTGCTCAGAAGAGGTGTTGGAGTTACAAAAAACAAAGAAAGAAAATAAAGAAGGCGATCAAATTACCCTTTCTCCACAGGAAAGGGCACTACACTTCTTCAGACACGCTTTGTAGCTGCCCGCAATGCACATCGTCTATTGATGAAGCCTGCTTTACTTCATGGCTCTCAATCCTTCTCCTTTCATAAGTGCTAAATTCCACATCACAAAGTTTTCCCAAAAAAAGCAAGAGAATGAGAGGGAGATGAAAAGAGGAGGGGAAAGCTCTCTTAGGGGAAAGATTAAGCACTGATTAGCTCCAAAAATTAAAAGCATCTTTTGTTGCAGAGACTCAGAACATAAACCACTAGATTATATTTTTTGGAATTTAATAATTGGGTCAAGCATTATAAGGTGAGATCCTTCTTTGAGAATGAATGCACTTTGCTACTGTCAGCAAATAAAAGAACACTGATAGGACAACTTTGTTATCCATGGAGTTAAATGTGTCCTGTGTTCAAAGATGGTATAGCAGAAATCCAGCATAATATCAGGACAACTTATTTTATTTCTTGTTGTTAGCTTCATATATAATATTATATGAAATACTCTCTCTTGCATTTCATCTAAATAGGTGTGGCTTTGACTACAATGTCATAAGGGTGACCAAATGCATACTTGTTCCTTAACATATCAGGACATCTGAAAAGTACAGATACAAATGGGCAATATGTATATATATTGAATACCAAAGTGATGAAAACATGATGCATTTTTGACATGCAAATAATCCGTGTGACTTAACCACATATATATATCTCCTTCATTGGCAGTATCCAGGAGGTTTTCTCAAATTCTTCGGAGGCAGACATCATTAAATCATCTTTGTCAGGTATTTTGTCTGCCTTTGTTTTTTTCCTTATTATTTCCTTCTTATGATTTATTGATCTCTCTCCTTTTAGTTAACATGAATATGGACATTGTATCTGTCTCCATCTCATGCAGTTCAGAAGTTTGATAAACCAAAATTATTTGATGGGTCTTGCATGCTGGTTTAAAAATACATTCATGTGTATTGAATGGGGCTACAAAGTGGAGTCCACAACATGCAAGTGTGAAGAAGAGCAAACCACAGACCACCTATTACAATGCAGTCAGAGCCTGGCCACATGCACAATGGAGAGACCTTCTTATAGCAACACCAGAAGCACTCAAGTGGCCAGTTACTGGTCAAAGGACATTTAATAGAATGCCAAGTTTTCAAACTTTGTGTTTTTTTAATACAATACAACTGTTTGGTTCGCTCCTGATACGATAAATAAATACATTTGTAAAATCATAATGTAACTTAACATTTAATAGGTGTTTCCTTAATCCCTCCTTATTATTCAACAGTTTTGCGTATCCATTGTTCTGCCGGCCTGTTTATGTTCGATAAGCGAGACTCTGCTGTATATCTGCTTAGAATCAAACTTCAGAAAATTCTGAATCAGGCACTCCCAAACTATTTACCAATGAAAATGTGTGAATGAAGGCTTATAATATGCCATCTTATAAACGGAAGGTTATCTACTGATTTTAATATTTTTTCCATCTCCTTATAAGATATATACAAATACTTCAATTATAAAATCATTCTTATAATTGTATACTGTTTAAGACTGGAAGTCAATAAAGACACCAGACAATTACAAATGTAATGATGATTTTATGTAATGCAAAACTGTGTATTCATATGTTATCTGTTTATAATTTTGCATAGTATTTTAAAGAAAGTTACCAATTTCAAAGTGTCTTGAAATGTGCCCTTTTGTTTCATCTGTGGATAAAGAAAAAACACTTTTTTCTAAATGAAAAATGCAGTAGAAAAAGTATAGGGAGAGAACTAGTAGATTAATCTCTCCCATCAGGATCGGTAATTTCTGGGAACCAATGAACTGAATTAAGTTCCAAAATGCCTTTTGCCACCTGCGGCTTTTCCAAACTTGGCCAAGGGGAAAATCAACTTAGCAAGCCTCAATAAGAAAGCGTATAAAGGGATAAAGTCTATTTTTAAGGTAATAAACCATAAACTAATGAATTATGTGGTTTGGATTATAGGCATCAAGAACTGTGATCCATAGTGCGGACATTACATTCCAAATGTTGGAAGACTGGAGGAATGTGGACCTTAATAGCATCACCAAACAGACGCTCTACACCATGGAAGACTCACGAGAGGAGCACAGGAAACTTATAATGCAATGTAAGAATATAAAACTTACCTTTGAGAGTGTCAGCTCTTGCTTCTCTTGGCCAAAGTTACTTTTTGGACTACAGAATTTCCATCCTGTGCATGGTCATTGATGGCTGGCAATTCTTGGAATTGTAGTTCAGAAAAATAACTTTTCCAAACTCCATTTATTGCAACTGCAAAGTGCTACAGCTAACTAATCCAATTGCTTTGACCTCAATGGGACTCTTTCCCACATTCTAATCCAACGATTAAAATTGCAAAGTGACCCTTATGAGAAAATGTATGGAGAGAGAAAAATCCATCTGTTTTCAACTTTTTTCCTTTTTTAATGTTTGCCTGTTCATAATTTCTTCCTAGCTACATCGTATTTGCAGAGAGAAAAAAGATTGAACTGGGAGTATTCGCAAGCAAATGCGCAAAGTGCAATATTGTGCACAATCACTCCAGTGCAAATTCTACTGTCTTTAGCAAGGCTTTCTCTCCGAGAAAGGAAGTGCATCTAGGATTGTAGCTTGAAATTATTTTAGTTTCCCTGCTTTTTCTGAAGACTCTGTAAAGTGTACATAAGTTCAAATACATTTGTTATCATTTATTGTTACTGTTGTGGCAATAAAAGAGAAGCAAAAAAAGGTCCTTCTCAGCTTTGCACTTCAGTTATGGAATGCCTTCTCCTGTCATCCAATCAAAGCTGTTGAGACTTAATTTATTCTAATTGTATTACTGTTGCTTTTAAGCCATTTTAACTTGTTGTCATATTTAATGTTTTATCCTGCTTAAGCTGTGTTATTATTTTAATTTGCAGTGGTTTGCATTTGTTGTTTTATCTGTATTATCATATTATTATTGCACTTGTTTTAAACGGGATATTATTCTTGTTTGCTTGAGCCATTTTAAACATTTGCAAAAAGTAGCCTAAAATGTTTTAAACACAACAAATGCACAAATCTGTTTAATGTTTACTTGCTTGTTGTATAGCTGAGAGAGATTTCAATTACAAAAATAATATGTGAAAACTGCCTTGAGCTAATTTGATGGTGAAATAAGTTTTTATAGAAAATTGTTTGTTTTTTAGTTACTACAAATAATGGTAGCTGCAAATATGTTTGTCAAACTGTGGAGCATTTCCTGATGTGTCAAAGTTGTCCATCAACAACTTTGGCACATTTTGGGATGAAATAGCATCTTTATTCATTTCTAAAACAATTTCATGCATGACCTCCTTTATTAAAAGGGTCGGAACATAGAAATAGGGCTTAGAATAGTGATTGTAGTAGTAGGTTCTGTGAATTAGTTACAGATAGGCACTGCTGAAAAAATGCAACCGAAAGTTTGTTGGCGTTTGAATTTTGTTATTGATTTTTTAAACAACAAGAGAGTAGGACCCAAGTGCAGCAAATACTTTCAGTTTCTCCATTCTTCAAAAACTGCATATTTTAATATAGTTTAGCAACATATACAATGTCATTATGCAAGATTAGGAAATTAGGCTGGATTGTGATTTTTTTAAAAACTTTATAAGAGATGATGGTCAAAAATTATTTAGATCATTGGTGCTTTATTTTGCCAGTATATCAGGAGTTTGATCATCTTCTGGAGGAGCAATCACCCATCGAGTCTTATGTAGAATGGCTGGATTCCATGGTGGACAGATGCGTTGTGAAGGTCAGTAAAAGCAGATCTAGAGTATTGATTAACTCCTAGAAACAGGGTCAGTTCTGGTTATCGTTTGGATGAGAGACTACCAACAAATACCGAGTGCTCTAGGCTATATTTTAGAGGAAGAAATATGAAAAGTCGGTCCAAGAAAGACAAATGGTACCCATAATGGTTTTACTGTGCAAAAGTCAGATTGTCCTGTTTACTGTTATATGATTTGGAAGAGATTATGAGGATCTGCTGAACCAATGGCCTCAGAATGAGATTCTCGTGAGATAAGCTAATAATGTTCTTCCATAGGATTCAATCCAGCACTGAGTCAAATATAAGGCTGGAAATGTTTTGTTTTAATTAGAGCCTTCAGAATCCCTCAATTAGTTCAATTGGAGATTTTTAGGAGTGATGCTTTAGGCACAAATGGCCCATGGAATCACTTGGACAAATGTAAGTGTTATGATTTATCATTCAGTCTACAACTGGGTGTAAGCATTTTCAAGTTTATCACAGTCAATCCTTTCTTTCAGCTGAAGTTCAATGGATGATAGTGTGGCTCTCCTGTCCCAATGGAATTTAATTAGTTTTCTGTTGTTTGTCCCTATGAGCAACTTAAAAACAATTGGATGGTCATTTGGAAAATAAAAGTTTAAAATAACTTAGGAAAAAAGGCATTGGTCAGCCTGCATAGAAATGACATGCTGGAGATTCCTTGTTTAGTCAGTGGCTCCTGCAACAGGCTCCAGTTGTTTCATTGTGTGTCTGGGCATGGCTGTTTAACAAGCTAATAATCTGCCTCAGTCTAATTTTCCAGTTTATGACGTGGTGCGTTCATCCCTTGAAAGGATTTCTGTGGGCCAAGGGGCTTCAGCTTTCTTTCAGTCTTGCACAACAAGTGGAATTTTGCCTTCAGTTTAGTCAGCCATAAACAGGGATGTTGGCAAGTGTTTCACAGGGAAGTGGCCACTGAACGCCAAAAAATGGTGTGTGAGAGCATGACTCTTCAATAGTGTAAAAACTACACATTTGAAGCTACTGTGTGAATAGTTATGATAAATTGTTAGCCATCAAGAGTTGAATTATAGCTACTGTGCTAGCATAATTGCAACGAAATGGGTCCAATATATACCAATACATATACTTCTGGATACCCAGCACTTGTCCTACAAAGAGTAGACTTGCTGAAATGAATTTGACTCAGTAGACACAACTAATTTAATCCCTACTGATTTCAGTGGATCTACTTTGAGTAAGATGAATGTTGGCTTTAGCCCACTGGAAACTCTTGACTTCCAAATCTGAAAAGTATGGAAGTATCTCATTTCCATGGGGAGACATGCACAGTGGGGCCTTGGTATCCACAGAGCAGAAAGTCAAGGTCAATTCCCCCCAAACCTCTCCAGTATGTTATGTTGGGGTTTTTTTTTTTGGGGGGGGGGAGGGATGTATGTGTGCCAAGTTTGCTCCATATCCATCATGGGTGTGGTTCAGAGTGCTCTCTGGCTGCATGGTGAATTACAACTCCCGTCATGCAGGGTCAATCCCTCCAAAATGTTCTGTTGGTCATGGGAGTTCTGTGTGCCAAATTTGTTCCAGATCTGTCATTGTGGGGTTCATAATGCTTCCTGGAAGCAAGGTGTATGCCAACTTCCATAATGCTGAATCAATCCCCCCCCCCCAAATCGCTTCAGTATATTCTGTTGGCTATGGGGGTCTTTGTGCCATGTTTGGTCCAGATCCATCATTGATGGGATTCAGAGTGCTCCCTATATGCAGGGTGAACTACAACTCCCACCATGCTGTATCAATCCCCACAAAACCCTCCAGTGTGTTCTGTTGGTCATGGTGCTTCTGTGTGCCAAGTTTGTTGTAGATCCGTCATTGGTGGGGTTCACAAGGCTCTCCATCATATCAGGTCATTCCTCTCAAATCTCTCCAGTACATTCTTTTGACCATGGGGGGGAGGGGGTGTCTGTGTGCCAAGTTTGGTTCAGATCCATTTCGGAAGTCTGGATGAAGGGTGAACTGCAACTCCCATCTTGTAGAGTCAGTCCTCCCAAATCCCACCAGTATTCAAAGTTGGTCGTGTTGGGTATATGGGCCAAGTTTGGTCCAGATCCATCGTCAGTGGTATGTGGGTGGCTGAATCTGTTGATGTATGATCCCAATTCTCCTCCAATTGAAGGACCACAGTGCCCTGCCACATATTTAACCTTCTCCCCCACCCCCCAGCAACCTTGACACAAGTAACATACTTCTAAAGGAGTAGGCAGACTGGTGGTACACCTTACTGTAAAAATATAATTCATATATACTTGCAGTTGGACTTAATTTCCTAACAAAGCAGAAGGAGGCACTTACAGTTTACAATGAAGGTACAACTACATCACATCCATTTCTTTTTCTTGACAGGTAGCTGCTAAGAGACAAGGTTCTTTGAAGAAAGTAGCTCAGCAGTTCCTCTTGATGTGGTCCTGTTTTGGCACAAGAGTTATCCGAGATATGACTTTGCACAGTGCTCCCAGCTTTGGTACTTTCTCTTTCTAGCTTGTTATCATCTTATTAGGGGCACAATCATTTATCTTAAGAGAAGTTGCTTTAGTATAAAATAGCATTATTATTGCATTGCTATATTAGATGTAAATGCATAGAAGAACTCACAATCCTTGCAAAAATCTTGTATTATTATTAAATAGTGAAAGCAATAAGAACACAATGCATTGTACTGAACAGTTCTCTTCTAAAGGCCCTTTTGTATTACCGTTATAACACCATGATTCCACTTTAATTGCCATGGATACATCTTGTTGAGTCCTAGACTTTGTGGTCTGGTGAGGCACTATAACCTTTTTTGGCTGGGATTTAAAATACCCCCCTCCTGAACTGCAAAATCCAGGATTCCACAAGGTTGAACCACAACAGTTAAAGCACAATTGTAGTGCTATAATTGTGTAGTGTGAAAGGGCTCATGCAAAAGAGATTCCTAAAAAAGTGTTCTTTTGGATTTGTGAGGTACTGCTCCCCTAAACCCTGTGAAAGTGGAAGGCCTGTGATATGGGTTAAGGGAAAAATATAAAGAAGTAAAACTAAAAACATTGTTAGGCTTGATCTGACTTAAAACCAAGCAGATCAGAGCATAATCCTAAAGATGAAATCTGCTTTCTGATGGGAATCAAATAACATTACCTGTTTTCATGTGCATCAAATCTTTGCTATGTGATATAAGACAGCAGGTTTCAGTAACCAACCAATCTAATCAAGCTGAAAAACATGGTTGTTAACTCTTGCCTGAAATGCGTAATTGCTGTAAAGGTCATTCTCATTAGGACAATTTTCTGATGGGCTGCAGCCCAGAGAATAAGACATAATGAGCCAAAATTTAATTCTATCTATATAAATCCTGATACAAACAACAAGCAAAACAAAATCCTACTTCCTCTAGCACTGACCCATTAATGTCTGCTTGGGATATAAATCTCCTTGGTTGCAGTTGGGTTGAATCGCTTAAGTCAGTCACTGGATCACAATGTCTTAGGATCTAAGAAACTAGGCATATTAGAGATGTTTCACTAGTCAACTTTTGATGAAGTGGCCATTAGCAAAACTTCATAGAGTGCTTATGAAACTGAAGAAACAACCGTTTCTTTCCTTTTTTTTTTTTTTTTTTTTTTTGCTTTTATAGGATCTTTTCACCTTATTCACCTGATGTTTGATGATTATGTATTGTATCTATTGGAATCCCTCCATTGTCAGGAGAGAGCTAATGAGCTGATGCGGGCAATGAAAGGCGAAGGGGGAACAGGTAACACACTTCCTTGCAATTGTAAATGGTGATTTATCAATTTGCCATTGGCTTGATGGGTCTGCTGAGACTAAATCAAAATAAGATGAACTATAACAAAAGCCTGGAAAAGTCATTTATTGTTACTGGGCACGGTCCCCAAATTTAACTATTCCAAAGTTTACCTTTCAGTCCAACTTTTCTCACTTGTCTAATAACATTGAGTGTACTTTGCATATATATTTATAATAAGCCTTCCAGAAACACACTAGCCTAGGCTGAGTGTATTCCTGCTAATATAAATATGTGAATGGGACATGACAATTTTCTATTCATTTATTTAAATATTTTGATCTCACTCTACATCAGAAAAAGCCAGAATCTGTATCCTTCTGATGTATTGGACTTCAAAATTGGACTCCTGTTTTCTACACATATATGCCCACCAGTTAATGTTGTTTTGGGCTTTATCTATACTGTACAATGAATGTAGTTAGACACAACTTTAATGGCCATAGCTCAATACTATCATGGGAGGTGTAGTTTTGGTGCTTCACCAAACTATAAATCCCACAATTCCACAGCATTGGGCCATAGCAATTAAAGTGGTCTCAACCTGAATCAATTATGCAGTGTAGATGCAGCCTGTGTTCTTAATCCCTCATTATATGAGGACAATACTGCATGATGAGACACTCAGGACATGATCAGAAAATCTATAATTAATTCACAGATTCCTAGGCTGAGAGGCCTTGAAACAAATTGAACTCAATGTATCTTCATATATCTGAAGATATATGTTTATTCATTTAAATTATGCTACTGAAATTGCATATTTTGTTAAAGAAGGGAAAGCCATGTAACACATTGGGGAGAAAAACTCTGGCATATTATTTTTAACATTCCCCACCTTTTTCCAGTAGAAATACGTGATGATGTAACATTGGCAGAACCTGTTCCTCCAAGTCCCTTCCCAGTGCCTTTCTCTCCAGCTAAATCCACCACTTCTGGGGATGTGCCATCTGCAACCTCACCTGGAAGTAATCAGTCCCCAGAATATGCTGGCATCACAACTACAACAGGTTGGTAAAGCTTCAAATGTCTGGTTGTTTACATTTCTTAAAAATAATATCCATCCAAAACTGGGGGCTGGGTTGACATTTGTGGGTACCTGATTTACACAGATCCTTTGAGAGCATCCCATCATCAGTGGAGAGAAGAAAAATCCATCAAATGGCCAGTGCAAAGCCATATTTACATTAAGGGGTGTTGAGGGTTATGTCTCCAAGCCAACTTAGGAAGGCTCATATCACCTGTGTGCCTTATGCCAATTGAGAAACAGAGAAAAGGAACTGAAATCCTCTAGTTGCAAAGGGATTGTGACTTTGTATTGTCAAAGGCTTTCATGGCTGGAATCACTGGATTGCTGTAAGTATTTTGGACTGTATGGCCATGTTCCAGAAGCATTCTCTCCAGACCTCACAACCTCTGAGGATGCCTGCCATAGATGCAGGTGAAACATCAGGAGAGAATGCTTCTGGAACATGACCATACAGCCTGAAAAACTTACAGCAACCCAGATTATGACTTTAGTTGTGGCCTCTTAACTAATTTTTAAAAGGCTGCTACATATCAAGAGACATAATGACTTAACACAAAAGTCAAACGTGCTTGGTCAAGTAAAAGGCTGTGGGAAAAGAGGGAATCTGTATTCAGTACATCCAAGCAAAGAAGCTGTGGCCTTGATTTTTCAGCATCTGAGCAGAGCACCTGATGACAACAGCTCTTGGAAGCCTATCATTCATAAGGTTTATATAAATTGAAGTCAACTTGACAATTTGTGGATTTTATTCCTACATTCCCTGATAATTCAAATACTGCGGGAGAGGAGAGGAAACTTCAGGATATCCTCCAACTGCTAAAATACATTATACCATAATCATTATTAATATTATTTTAAATATTTTACATTGGAATGCATCTGTCTAACCCTGAGACTCAGTAGATTCATCTGATTGCTATCCCCTTGATTTAGTTTTTCTTCAAATGCCAGCATCATTTTCTTGCCAGCATCATTCAATTATATCTATTAACTCTTGGGCTTTCTAAATTGCAACGTCCATGGAGTTGAAAACAAAAAAGTGGTTAAATAATTGAGTTTTACATAACAGCACACTTTGTAAAAGTGCACTACCACCGAATTGCTCTATAGTAAAACATCTGGCAAGACCCAACCATGTTTTTCTTTCAACCCTTTTGTTAAAACAGGGTTCTCAAAAGTGATCATTAGTCTTTAATTCTTTTTTAAATCACAAAGGTTTGATTAATGATTGCTCAAACAACATCAGTACTGTAACAATAGTGATGGCTATATGGTTGTCTTTCTCTAAAAGTTCCTGATTACTTATTTGCTAGCATGGTTGTGCTTTGAAGCACCTGGGCTCTTTTACAAGAGCCATAAAACTTTGCTAATGGATAACTAATACTTTTATTGCCCATGCTTGGTTGTGTCATTAGGAGATAGGAAGCAGGATAAAAATACAGTACACAGCAAGATGTGAAAAGTGCATTTACAAATTGACCTCATTTCCAGCTAAAAATGGTTCGAATGCATGTAGACACAAATTTGTTTCAATCCACAAATCCTAGTGTGCTGATGAATACAAAGATAATCACTGCTGATAAACTTCTACTATGAATCCGTTATATTCCTTGCCTATTGGTTTTACAGTATTTGTTTGCAAAGGAATTCTGTAGCACTTTGGAAGCTAAGAGAACAAAGTTGGTGGCATAAGCTTATTAAAGTGTTACAAGATCCCTTCCACACTATTTCAGACTAACACAACCATGTCTTTGGATTTTATTTATTGGTTACATGTACGTCTGACATTTTCCATCAATGGGGTCATGGGTGCTATAGTGGGCTCTTGCCCTCACAACAACTCTGTGGGTTAATCACTACTCTGTGAAGAATTGATGTGGCTCTCTCCATTCCTAGTCCAATACTGTTGACAACTGCATTACATTGATAGTTCACTAGGATTTTCTTTCAATGGACTGATTCAGTTTACAACGTTCAACAGCAGAATCTATTGTCGGTGTCAGCAGTTGCACCCAAACTCTGAAACACTGCAGAGGGCAATCTAGCTCCTCCATTGCCTTTGACCAGGCCAGGAAGCAAAGGTGTTACCACCCTGCCACACTTATTATGATCTCCTGAAGCTGACATCTATTTTTAATTGCACTAGCTGCTGTTATTATTAGCAGACCACCCACATTACACAATCATAGCATTATGATTCCACTTTAACCACATGGTTCCATTCTATGGCATCTGGGAATTTGCAGTTTAGGGAAGGGTATTTAGACTGCTCAGCTAAGGAACTCTAGTATCTCACCAAACAATGAACCCCAGGATTCTATTGGATGAGGATATGGCAGATTAAATTGGATCATGGTACAACACTTGTGAGGTATGATAGTATTCTATTCAGATTTCCATGGGCTTAACGGGGGTTTTTATAAGTCACTTTTGTTGCATTTTATGAGATGGGATCTATGTATCTTGTGAGAATTAGTAAGAGGGACTCACGTTAGGCTAAATGAGGTAGCTACTCCAAGCAGAAGATTCTGGGGGCAATGGCTGCCAAATCCATGCTGTTCCTGTCCAAGCGAGGACTTGGATGTCATCTTGCTCTCTAAACTAGCTGATTTGGGTAGGGTGGAGGAAATTATCCCCTTGGTTCATCTAGCATACTGCTGTTACAAGTAATTTTTCTCTACAAATCCAGTTGGATTTTGTACTTGGTAGGAGGAGTGAAACTGATGTGATCTTGTACTTCATCTCAGGCAGCAAATCTTTGGGGCCAGGCTTATTAGATAGTCGGTGACATTCCTATTCCATCACCAAAAGGTTTGCAGGCAAGCTGCCTCTCTGCATTTTAGTGAAGGTGGAGATTCAGAAAACATTTGAAAGCTAACGGGATTTTTCCATTGTACACAGGGGCCATGCAGTCTTACACATGGTCTCTCACATACACTGTAACCACAGCTGCTGGGTCACCTGCGGAAAACTCTCAACAACTTCCTTGTATGCGAAATCCTCATGTACCTTCTTCGTCTGTTGCACACAGGATACCGGTTTATCCCCACAGAGAAGAACATGGGTAGGTTCCTTGCTTATTTACTGCATTCATTACACTATGCAACACAATTTTTGTTCCTATGTTATAAATGCCATTTACTAATGGGTTCTATCATTAACAAATGGGGAAAAGTTAATTAAGCTGAAAAAACTTTGTTTTTGCGGGACATCCTACAGCATATTTTGCAATGACTATCTCATCAAGCCTCAACCAATTCAACATATATTGTCGAAGGCTTTCATGGCCGGACTCACTGGGTTGTTGTAGGTTTTTTTGGGCTATATGGCCATGGTCTAGAGGCATTTTCTCCTGATGTTTCGCCTACAATATGTCAAGCACTACCTCTGAGGATGCTTGCCATAGACACAGGCAAAATGTCAGGAGAAAATGCCTCTAGACCATGGCCATATAGCCCGAAAAAACCTACAACAACCCAATTCAACATAGTTTGTGGCAGCCACAAAAACAAAGTTTCTGGAATATAACAACTACTTTCAAAGTAAGTTCCACGCAATTAAAAAGGAATAACACTTTCAAACCAGAAATAGACAATTTTTCAAATTTTGTTAAATGATATTATTATTGTAAATACTGTCACTGTTATTGCTTACTAACAAAAAAAATGGTGAATGACACCCAAGATTTGTTTCCTGCTATACAGTAGTTACAAATGTGGATTGTCTAGAATGAAGGCTTAAAAATTAAAACAAAATACCAGAAATACCAAATGCATGACATTTTGCCAAATAACTGTCAGTAAGCAATTAGCAGTAGGACCTTGGATGGTAGCACTGTGATGCATGTTCCTCAAAAATACTAATTTTTGCCCCCACCATCCCCAGATTGTGCTCATTGTACATCCAGGAGGGGCATTTTGAAATGTCTTAGGAGGTTGCACTTTCACTACTGCTATTTTAAATAGAGCCAAATTTAAATAATCCTAAACATGTAGTTTCCTTGTTTACCTGTGAATTTCAGCAGCAAACAACTGAAGGTGAGCAAACTGCATTTTAAATGACATTTTTCTGGATTGCCATCCAAATTGGCAGTGTGGTCTTCTGGGACATAGAAACAGCTTTTGGTGGGACTATGTGATCTGACACTTTTCCCATTTCTGGTTTAAAAAGATAACAACAAAAATAACAGTATTGTACATCCCAAATAGAAATGCAATGCATATATCTTCACAGTAGATGAAGAATTGTTTTGATTTTGGTTTTAGTGTTCTATGAATGCCAAGTATCCTCTCTGTCTTTTTAGATATACAGGGAGCTATAACTATAGTAGCTATGGAAACCAGCACCCAGTTCCACTCCAGAGCCAGTATCCATCTTTGCCACATGACAGCACTATTTCTGCGCCACTTCATTACTCAGCTTATCACAGAAGCTCTTCACAGGTCAGTTCCTTTTCCTCCTTGTTGATCCTGCAGCTCAGGAGAATAAATAAAACCTTCCCCATTCAGTATTACACAAATGCTTGAGCCATGCCTAGGTGTGCATAAATTAGTACTCTAAGACTGAGTTAGACAAGTTTTAGTCTAAGACTGGATGAGAAAAGTTTTACAAGGGCAGTGACAGGAGAATTTGCCTATTTATGAAACAAAGAGAGACAGCACCAGTTCATTAATTTAAAAATGGATCCCAAAGCATTGATGGACTGTAGACCTTGGGATTTTAATTTAAGACATCTCCCCTATGTGTGGATAAGGATTTTCTAAGGATGCTGACAGTTTCTTTGTCTGGTAGTTCCCAAAGTGTCTTCTCTCTTTTCAAAGAGCAGACAAAATCCTTGTGGAGAAAATATATTCTCCATTTACCTTAGTAGCAGCAAATGCTTAAAAGACACTTGTATTATAACTCAACTTTTCAAGTCGGAAGATTCAGACAGAGGGAAGGAGGGAGATTGCGAGAAATCTGTATTTCCTGATGACAGTGGTCCATCTGAATCTAAAGATCAGGCAGAAAGGAATCAGGAGATCACAGGCCCTCAAAACCCATTACCATAAAGTGATGAAGAGACAAGGATAGAATATACTGATCCCTGCAGTTGTTAAGTAGGAGACAATGATCTGATTAGGCACGTAGTACCTTGAAGCAGCTGTACATAAATCTCCCAGTCACTTCCTGGCAACTTTGTTGCTCTCATACATCTTTTTCAGGTGACTGGCAGTAAACTTCAGCATTTCTGTTTTTCCTGACCTTGGACTGATTACTGTTAGAGATTGACTCACTCTTTGCTGTCTTTACCAATCTAATTGACACTCCTGGACTGGCTGACAACCACCCTCTCATTTCACCTGTGCACTCCAACCACTTGCTTTCTGGATCACTTGCTGATGAGAACAAGGGACACTTTCCAGTAGATTGTGCACAGTTGCATGCTTTGGAGCCTGATTAGTCCTTCGAAGAGAGTTCATTTGTCTCTTTTATAAAATGAACAGGCCGAGGCAAAACTATCCCCTATGCTGAATCCACACTACTATCATAGTAGTGTGTGATATGTCATCCCAATGCAATATGCAGCTATCACTGCTTTTTGATTCTATTTCTCATCTTCTGGAAAGGCTCAGAGCCAACATTCAGTATTATCACTGCAACTTCCACCATCCCCTGTCAACATATGATAGGGGGTGAAGGATACAAGGTTGGAGAAAGTTCCCCCCTTGGGAGTCTTATTGATCTCCGTGATCAGGTAATAATAATAATAAATAATAAATATTTATTTGTATACCGCCCTATCTCCCCGAAGGAACTCAGGGCAGTTTCCAACATATAAGACAAACATTAAATTGCTAGAAAGAAAACCATACAGACAAATTATATCAAGACAAGCACACAGGCGGTATGAAAACAACCAAATTTAACTTAATAAACAAAATAACAAAAAATGAAAGCATCATAAAATACAAAAATCCTGCTAAAACACACTAAAAATAAAAATTTAAAAACCAATTGCATTATAGCTCCATCAGTCAAGGTTCAGCAACCCAATAGCCAGAAAAATGGACATGACCAACTATAAAAGGGCTGGGCAAGGGATAGTGCAGATAGTGTCTCATAGGGCCGGGAAAGTGGATGAAGTGCAGAACAGGGTACTATCTGGGAACCTAGGGACTGGGGCTAGGGACTAATCATTCTTGAAAACTTGCTGGAACATCCAGGTTTTCAAATCTGTTAGAAAGGAGAAAAGTGTGGGGGCTTGCCTAATCTCCTTCGGGAGGGTGTTCCAAAGACAGGGCGGGGGGGGGGGGGTTCACCACCAAGAAAAACCTATTCCTCATCCCCACCAACCATACTTGCGACGGTGGTGGAAGCGAGAGGAGGGCCTACCTGGCAGATCTTAAGGGCCCACGCCAGTTCATAGGAGGAGATGTGATCACAAAGATAGGGAGAGCCCGAACCATTTAGGGCATTGTAGGTCATAACCTGTACTTTGAACTGGGACCAGAAACTTATTGCTAGCCACTGGAGGCATAAATAACCCTACCTCACACATACACTAGAAATGTCACCTTTTTATTCTTGGACTTAGCACCAATCCTACAGACATAAATTGAAGAGGTAAAATGATCTTGGTTTCAATATAAGTAGTGGAGAAAGCTTAACCAATTATATTTTTGTTGTGTCAGCTTACTATTGCCAGAAACAGGTAGCACTGTTAACAAAGGAATAGATCTAGTGGGCTTGAAACTAGAAACCATTTACCTTGGCTATGGAGATAATGGGGGTAAATGCAACATGCCAAAATTCAGGTAAACTTATTGCTCATATTAATAAGAAAAACTCCAACATCATCCTGAAGGTGCCAGCATACTTTCCTGTGATCTTAATAAATCTGGCATGTAGCCCTGTTTGAGGTTTTGAGAGGTACTTAAAATACCTTCCAGTGGTCCCAAATTATATTAAATAAAGAAACATTAGGAATGGAGACTATATGTGTCTAGTAGCAGTTTTAAACTCTGTATTGAACATGTCCTCCTTTTTACAGTAGCTCATTAGCACTCTCCTCCCTAAAAACAGAACAAACATCAGAGCTCAGCATTTTATGAGTATATTTTGAAGTGTGTTGCAGAGGCCCATAACGCAGTTAAGTACAAATAAAACTAGTATAAAGTTAGAGCTGAATTCATAAGGAAAATATTTTGCTGTTTGAACAGAGACACCTTTCACCTCTTTGCATAATCAGGCAACAAGCTGAAGAACAAGAAGAAAGAGATTATTCTTCTGCTGGACTTTCAGGGAACTCAAACTTCATTGGATGGAGGAGACACTTAAAATAGTATTTTCTAAAATAATAACAGAAAGTTACAGAGCTATTTTTAATTTTGGTGGGTATGGGGACGACAGAATGGGCCTTAACAATAATCAGCTTAAAGTCACCTCAACTTAAAGGAGTTAGTGTTTCTTGTCAAGTTTCAACGGACTGGTGGTAGTGGCAAGTGAGTTGACCCAGAAAATGGTAATTTCCTGTCAAGGGCTCTCCAACAAATGTCGCCTTTATATCTGGCAAAGATCACTAGGCCCCACTGTTTTGAGATCAGCGTGCTTAAGCACTCTTCATTAAACCGGATGCAAAGTGTGAAAGGTGATTCAGGCAGCTTGGGCAGGCATCCGCGCAGATGGCAAAGCTTTGGACACTCCAACAAGGCTGAATAGATGCTTCATTGGTTGAGTTAATAGTCAGGCAGGGGCCAAGGCGGACTTTAAAAATATTGTCTCTCAATGGTCTCTTCACTGGAAGGAAAAAGAAGTCACTGACTCATTTGCAATTAGCTGACCTACCATTACAAATCTTTCCATGCTGGGGATTCAGCCATCACAGATTTTATTGTAAAAATACTAGATATTTGGGGGTCTGTATTATTTTGGAGCAATTATTCTTTTTTATATTCATGACACATTCATAAACACAGCTGCATCTAGGGGTATTTGGCCACACAGAGAAGCAACACACTGTATCCCTGTCCCTCTTGTTTTTCCAGTCATTTATTAGCCCTTCCTTTCTGGTCAGGCATGCTTGCATTCGAATCTTAATGAAAAATGGAAAGTTGGCATTCAGCTGCTATGCTTTAGGAAGTCTGTTCTCCAATGTGCCAATTGGTGCTACCCATGAGAAGAAAAGAAGGACTAATCCATGACTAGTCTATATAGCAGGACCAGCCCCACATTTAGGCAATGTTAGAAAGCACCTTCAGGGGGCAGATGTTGGGGGAAAGCTTATCAATAACAATTAGTCATGATTGCTAAAAGGAATTTATATATTTGTAATATTGAATATCTAATTGTTTGGATCAACTCCAACCTACTGCATCCCTGAGAAAGGATTACTTAGTTTTTTTTCAAAAAACTTTATCAATGTGGGGTCCACCACCTTCTGAGGTCATCCATTCCACTGTTGAACAGCTCTTAACGTCAGGATGGTCTCCACGTTTGGACAAAATCTTCTTTCTTATAATTTGACTCTGTTGGTTTGGATACTGCTTCCTGGAACAACAGAAAACAAGTTTGACCAATCTTTCTTACTTCCAAATTTTTGAAGATGGTTATCATATTCTCTCTTCTCTAAGTTAAACCTCACTGCCTCCTTGAACCATTCCACGCAGAACTTGGTTTCCCAATTCTTTTTGTTACTTTACCTTGTCTCCTTCTGGACATGTTCCATTTGACAATATCCTCAAACTGTAGTGCCTAGAGTACATCAAAGTAGCAAGACACTTCCTTTAATGTGAATATTGTAATCCCGTTGATGTAACCTAGAATTATGTTAACTTTTTCAGATACACTGTTCTCAATCTAGGTATTATCCATATTTATGCATCTGATTTTTCTTGCCTAAATAAAGGACCTTATTTTTAGCTGCTGAATTTTTTTTGTTTTCCAATCTGTTGAGGCTATTTGAATCTTCACTTTCTCTTCTAAGGTATGAGCAGTCCCTTCTAAATCAGATATGTATTGTCCTCTATGCTATCATCCAACTCTTTAATTAACATGCAGAGGAAAATTAGATTTAGGAGAAAAAATTGTGACACTTGCCATGTTTCTTTAGGATGACAAGGAGTCATTTATCATTACTCCTTTAAGTCTGAGCTATTAGGCAGCTACAGGTCCATTAACACTAGCACAGCCTATGTCACATTTTGCAACAGAAAGCCAGGTAACATGTTTTTCCTTAACATGTGTATGTGACTTAACCGTTTTTACGATGTTGTTTCCTGTCCTTAGTACCCCTTCAACAGCCCTTCTTCGCGGATGGAGCCCTGCTTGATGAGCAGCACCCCTAGACTGCATCCAACCCCAGTAACTCCTCGCTGGACAGAGGTTTCCTCGGCAAATGCTTGCTACACAAGCCCAACCATGCACTCTACAAGATTTGGAAACTCCAGTGACATGTACACACCATTGACCACACGTAGAAACTCTGAATATGAGCACATGCAACACTTTCCTGGCTTTGCCTACATCAATGGGGAGGCCACTACTGGGTGGGCAAAATGAGAATGACTGGTAATAGTATCGACCACATATATTTAATAAAGATAGAAGAAGAAATACTTCTATGCCTAAAGTAATTGGAAGTCTTACCTGGGCATTGTCAATGGCTATGAAGATGGAAAGAACCCTGGATACAGGTTAAGAAAGAGAGAACCTTGCAGTACAGACTAGCACAATGATTCCTCTAGCCAAGCAAGGTTTACTGCTGCTATGAAGCATTATGTAGGCCAAGGCGTGCCTTTTATTGTTGTGCTTTCTCCAGATGTCATGAAACTGACCTGTATTGGTTTCCATCTAACAACTGAATGTTTCCATAACTTAACAAATTTGCCCCTCCGTAAACATGACAGTTGCAATGTAGAGCAGAACTTGGAAAAGTTACTTTTTGAACTTCAATGGATTTTTTCTGAGCTCTGATGTAGAATGTAATGATGTGCATGCACCATAGAGACCTATATTCCACAGAGAAGCACAGAAATATAAGGGACAAGAGAATTATTTTCACCCCCTCTCTATTAAAAAGGACATTTGCTCATGTGCATCCCATGTTCCTATTTCTTCATTTTGAGACATAATTTATTGTTGCAATCCAATAACACCATACACATATGTACCGTCCAACATTTTACAGTTGAAAACAAGGAAATAACTGGCTAAGTAACATCAGAATATGGTCACGATGGGGAAATGTATTAATGAAGAACAAACATGGAGAGAACTGAGACATTTGCTTTTGCTTGAGTCTACATGGAAAGGCAACATAATAATAATAATAATAATAATAATAATAATAATAATAATAATAATAATAATACTTTATTTTTATCCCGTCCTATCTCCCCGTGGGGACTCAGGGCGGTTAACATTCTGCTGCCTCCTCTCCCTTCACTGAGTTAATTGAGTGCAAACTACTTTTGCACTTTGAACTGAGTTTGCACCAATGAATGCAAAAAAAAGACAAATGGATAAAGTGGCAGGAGAAGGGAGAAAACAAGACATTTTAAAAGTTGCCGAAAAAGTAGGATGTGAGAAGATTAATCAGGATGTGTCCTACCAAATTTGTACAGTTGGAGTCCTTGCAATGAATGAGAGAGATCAGCACAGGATGAGAGAGACTGGCATCTCCAAAATCCAGCCTTTCATTTGAAACAGGTTTTTAGATCTTTAAGGATAGCAGGTTTTCTGTGACCAGCCAGGGATCAAGACTCCCATGCACAGAATATCATATTTGTCATTCCCTGTAGCTACCAGGTGGACCCTCCAAATGAGACTTTTGTCATATTAGGAAGAACTTCCTGACTGTGAGAGCCATTCAGCAGTGGAACTCTCTGCCCCGGAGTGTGGTGGAGGCTCCTTCTCTGGAAGCTTTTAAGCAGAGGCTGGATGGCCATTTGTCAGGGGTGATTTGAATGCAATATTCCTGCTTCTTGGCAGGGGGTTGGACTGGATGGCCCATGAGGTCTCTTCCAACTCTTTGATTCTATGATTCTATGATTCTATGTCATCCTTCTTCATTCACTGATTTTTACTGGGCTTCAGGTGACATCCTTGATTAATTACCGTCTCTTTTTTCTCCACCACTTCTTCTCTTTTCTTTTCAATATGGAAAATCTGGCAAGGAGAAAAAGATGGAATAGCTGCCTTCTAATTGTTAACATGAAAAGTCCCTTTGTGAAAGCATCCAAAGCATTGTTGCAAGAAGTGCATACTGGGAAACTCCCAGTAATATTTTCATTTCAGATATTTACTATGGCTGCAAGTAGATGTGACTGTATTTCAATTGACTTACTGGGAATTTCCTCTAAAAATATATGGATGGGGATTTAAGATGTAGAATAAGTGGGTGAGAATTATATATCTTTTAATGGAGAACTAAGGCTAAAGTAACTTCCCTCAGGCAAAAAATATGCGGGTGTGGAGGAAAGACCAGATGAAGAAAAAATGTAGCGGGTCCCTTCTGCCTATTGTTGTAATGTACCTTCAAGTCACCTCTGATTTAAGATAACCCTATCCTAAGATATTATTGTGAAGAATTTATTCAGGGGAGATTTGTTATTGCCTTCATCTAAGGCTTAGAGTGTGTGCATTGCCCAAAGTCACTCAGTAGGTTTCTAAGACTGAACAGAGATTCAAACCCTGGTCTCCAGTAATGTTAACCCAATGCTCAAACCATTACACCATGCTGTGCTTTAAAACACTCCTTAAACTTTACAGCTATTTGGCACTGCCCATGTTTTGACCTACAAGTGATGCTTCTAAGGAAGAGTTGAACAACACACACCTAACATGACCATTTTTGCAGCATCTGCTGCATCTTGTTTCTTTTGCTACCCAAACAACTTCATGGTGTTAGAGTCAGCAAAACTGCATTCCTGAAAATCAATGGAAATGATATCATCAGAAAAAGTATGATTTTGGTCTTCTTCTCACTTCCAGAAGGGAGGCATAATGTAGTGATTTTAGTGTTGGGCAACAACTTTGAAGTTTGAATCCCCACTTGGCCATGGAAACTCACTGGGTGACGCTGGGCAAGTCACATTCTCTTGGACTCTGAAGAAGGCAAAAATATGCCTCCTCTGGACAAATAATGCCAAGTAAACCCTATGATAGGGTCAACATAAGGTTGCCATAAGTTGGAAATGATGGGAAGATGCACAACAATAAAATGAAAAATATGAAATTTTGCCCATGGGCTACCTACCAGAGTTCTGCGATATCTGAGGGTACATCAGCATCCTCTTGTATGATACAGTGGTCACCAAATTTTGGCAGTCACAATAGTAGGCCCAGTATAGTCTCCCAACCTGCTCTCTTTGGGATAGGCAAGCAAGTGTCTCCAAGCCCAGCTCACTATCCATAATTCAACAAAAAATAACTCTGAACACACAAAAGCCCAAAAATCTCATTGCAAAATGTTCTAGTTATCAGGACAGATTCTGTACATTACAATATATGCAAATATATTAAATTTGGAAAGGGCCTCAAATTGGAGGATTTTGCTGTCTTGGCACTGAATTTTAATCCCTCCATGCTTCCCTTTTCTGACCATCTCTATAACTCCTCAAAAACATTTTATTTGTTTACCTGTTGCCTTCATTTTCCTATGTGAGGCTTCTTAAAATGGCATGTAATAGTGTGGATAGAAGTCCAGTTTACATGTAATCTTGTATTCGCAATGCACCTTTGTATTGACTGATTTGTGTTCCTTTGACAATAAGGCAACATGTAGCATTGAATGGTACACTGCCTTATGTTGGCTGTGTATTGTGCTATGTTACCAGTGCAGTATTTGTACAACTCTATAGTTGCTAAATGTAATGGGTTCTAACAACTGACAACAAATGCAATCCCACTTGCCACAGTCATGTAAGGCATCACATGATATATATATGTATGTGTATAAATCCCATAAAATACCCTATCCCAGTGGACAGCTGCATTGTCTTTGGTAGGTCTACCATACTAGTCAGGGTGCTTATACCAAAGTGAATTAAAGTCCTTTTAGACACACATACCCACATGGCCATGAACTTTGTCCCATTGTTTTTCCCATGCAATTATCCATACCTGCTTTCTCCTGGAGTGGAATAACTACATGAAAAAGAGGACTGTAGCTTTTATATCTTGTAAAGACAGGACTTTTCAGCTGATGAAATGGTATAACAAGCTCAACCCTGCCGGAATTCCCTCTTCCTCATACCCTATATACTCATGTATAAGTGTAGAATTTTTAGTAAAAAAAATCAGCCCCAAAGTCCTAGGTCAACTTTTCCATAGGTCACTGTGAGTACTGTACCCTAACCTATCTGAAAAGGAATCATCCTCTTCTCTGAGTAGAATAGCAAAGGGCATGAGCTTAGTCCATCCCAGAAAAACACAAGAGATGCACTGATCTCCTCAGTTTTTCCTGCTGTGGCACAACTTCTGGACTTTTTGAATGTCTGGGTGGGGAAATGACAGGCAGTGGTGCTTTCCTTTCTCTGTGGAATTACTCTTGACTTAGCTAAGGATCATATCAAAATTCATAATTTTGGGCCCCAACCTGCCCTTAACTTGCACATAAGGCCAAGCTATACAAAAGTATATAATTATTGTTAAAGGTAGAGTGGTCCAGTCCCCCTTTTTGGTGCACCTCTCTACCATGGAGTATCCTGCAAAGTTTTCTGGACATGACTCACGGGGAAGAATAGAAGAGCCCTTTGGAGTGAGCATCCTTCCAAGGTGGCATTCTGTTACCTGAGGTGAAAGACAGATTGCAACCCCACCCATTCCAGAAGCTAACTTGGCTGGCATTGAATCTAATATTAACTCTGATCCCAGGCGCAATACTGTGATCACAGAAGGAAGTGACATTTGGTACAAAAGTAGCCCAGTGTGGAGATGAGGGCTTTGCAAACTCTTATTAGGCTTTTTGAATGTGGACATGGCAAGTGGGAATGCACCCAACTCAATAATCACTCTGGAAACCACATGCTAATCTTGTTAAACTAAGCCAATATTTGTGATGGAAAGTCTAAAAAACAAAATATTTTTGTTACCTGTAACATGGTTTGAACAACTTCTTCCCTGGTTGTTTTCCCAGGATAATTCCATACAATTGTACAAGATTTAAAGAGTTGTGCCTTTGAACCTATTCTGTGTTATGTATGTATGGGAGGAAATTAAATGTATTTTGGGGAGGACCTTTTTTCATTGGTATTTTTGGTCATATTCATAGTACTTCATGATTTTTTGTAGAAAACTATTAACATAGAAGGGTTTTGTTTTTACCTCTGTATGATAAAGGGGGAAAAACACCAAGCAATTATGGTGGACATATTACCCTATGGGTAAGATATAATTACAAGGAAATATGACATCAGGAGTTTTAATAATGGATTGTAAATAATAAAAAAATATTTGATAGCACTCAACAGTGGTGAAAACTGTGTTTATGGTTAAAATGGAAATGTATGATTTGTACAGTTATCCAAGATATATGGATTTTCACACGTAAATAAAAAACCATGAAAGCAACTGTAGTTTAATTCATTTTAAAATGTTGAGTTGTGCACAATCAATGTGTTGTGCTTTTAAATATATATACTGCAGTTACAAACTGTGTGCAGAGTAGAATATCTAGGGTGTTGTGGGGGAAAACCATAGGCTTAGAGGAGTCTAGGCCAGGCTAACAAGTTTCCCTGCATAATTTCTAAAAATATATTCACCTGATACTAAATGCAGTTTGATAAGTTTGCACAGAGACCTAGGTGCTGCTTTAGTAATAAAGGTATGCCCACAATAAGTTTACAAGAATTCACGGCAAGAAAGTATTTTGTCCTCTCTCCTCTGTAGTCCTGTGTCCAGGCATCAAAAGATGTCAGGGAGACTTCAAAACAGTGTAAAATGGACATTGCTCTGACAGGTAGAATCTCCCTAAATCAAGTCTGGATCTTTAGAAAGGTTAATTCAAGAAAAGAAAATCTGTACCTTCTCCTATACCTCATTTCAAATCCTACTATACATTGTTTTGGCTAGAGGAAGACCTGTAAGGTGAGAAGGGATTCCAAGTGGCTATGTGATTGTAAGGAAGCGTAATCCCACCTAAATGGGATTACCAAAATTAAATAAATATGTATGTTAATCCACCTAATTTCAACCTAAATTATAAGGAAGTCCCAAAATTGCTTGATTACACTGCCACCATTATATATATATATAGAGACGTTGGAATTGAAGTCTCTATTTATCCCTATCTGCGTTGTGAGGCAACTTTGGTAGAGTGGATTGCACCAAATGTAAAATCAATGGAGGAGACAGATTTATAACACAGAGAGAACAAGTTTATTGTTAACAGAGCGTAATTGTTGCAATACTGAGATGTTGAACTTGGCACAAGCTTGATGGTTACAATATGGCTTGGTAGAGATACATTCAGGCTTCTGATGTTACAATCCTTTAAACTCCTTCTTCAGTGAAGTACTTTATTATTTCAGTGTTCCCTGTTGTGAATATTCACTCTGTTTGTCCTATACCGGATCAAACCACCGATCTCCAGTCTTTCACTACTGGGATCCCTAAAACCCCCTTTGTTAGATTCTTTTTAACACAAGCAATCTAACAAGGTTTCACCTTCAGCTCCCTTGCTGAAGAAATATTCACAAATGCTAAGAACTAACTGAATCTATACTGCTTCACCACACAGAGCCCTAACTGACTCCGCTCCTCTTCTCAGGGTCTCATCCTCCTGACTACCCATTAACTGTTACTTTCAAACCTTTTTCTCCTT